TTTGATCATTTATAGTACTTGATAATTTTCATGCTTTGGTAAGGGAAAGCTTTCAACTAATGAAGCCTGACCCACTCAGCTGCACAATTAAAAGAGGGTAAAGCGCATTAGTCTGAGTCTGTATGTGTGAGAGTGAGAGTGAGAGTGAAGGGCCTCAACTTTGAAACGGAACTTCTCAGATGGGTCCAAGTGTTGGTGCATCATGCACATTAATTACACCCATCTTATAGACCCTGTTCAGCTTGAATATGACTCCACATGAGCCACCAGTATGACCAACCCTTGATAAAGTGCTCTTATGTTCATTAGTGGGGAACCAAGCCACGAATGCCATCTTGAACATATCAAAAGAGCTGCCATTATTCATTCCTTCTCCTTGTTTCATACTGCAACTTCAACATCATGCTGCCATGCCGGCATTAGTTACCAGCGCCTCTAATAAACCATACAAATGTCCGTTCATTTCACTTGCCATCTCCATGTTTACATATTTTTCAACGCCTTAGATCATGTCTGGTTTCATGTTAAAAAATCACCAAAATATTTTAAAAACATTTTGGTAATTTTAGTCGTTTTCAGTATATATAAAATTAAACATGCATTCTGTCATCGTGGTTTAAGAGCGTTGCCCCTACAAAATTCATTGAACCAACCTAACATATATGACATTATAATTACGTGACAATGATCTGGGTTCAATAATGTCCCCGTGCACACGGTGCATCATAAACACTTTATTCTTAAATTTTCAGTTATATACTACCTCTTGTCCTAATTATAAGACCTTGTTTGTAGATTATAAACTAGATCTTATAATTAGAACTGAAGGTAACACCATATAACTATAAACACACCTTGGAAAGAATCACGTGCCACATGTTTATTGGCAAATTGTCTACTTCAACAGGGTTTTTATTTTCAGTTATTTTCGTTAAAATGCTGAATTAGGTTGTAGCTAGTAATTATGACTTGTATTCATTGACGAAATTGAAACTCAAGCGGTATGGATGACGATTAATTCACGCCAAGTATGAAATTATAGAGACATGCTTGGGGGTTAATTAAGGCCTGTACTTACTGTCAACGACAGGCATCAAAATTAGTAGTATTAAGCTTGATTAACGGCATGAGAATTAATGATGATTGTGTAGCTAGCGAGAAGATACCTTAGCTTCTAATTAATTATATGCAACGACCAACCTCCATGTTGGCCTTGGCCTACACAATATATAGAATCCCGCCCTCGGACCACAACCTCGCTGTTCATCTTCCACGTGTGCTCTGTGATGTGCACATGGAATGTCGGCGTCCTTGTCACTCTATAGATGGATCCTTGCAACTACTACATCTGCAAGCACTTTTTATTCCTGAAATTACTGTAATGCTAGTATTTAACCAACCCCCCCCCCCAAAAAAAAAAGAGAAACTGGAAATTGAATTAATTAAGGAATAATACTACTACGTACTTTTAAACGATCGTATATTCCTTATGATACCGTGTCCGTTCACTTAAACGTTGGAATTTGGAAGAATTCGTGTTGTGAAAATGGAGCGTCAATCCACGAAACAGCGAGGCATAATAATAGTCTCGCAAACGCACGACATCCGCCAATGTGAAGAATGCAGGACGGGGCTTAGTGAGATTAAGAGATTACAAAGTCATGAACCAATAACTCACGAATCAAAACACTTCTTTCTATCAAAAGCATTAATTATCTTGCACTTTCTATCACATTTCTCAATTTATTTATCTTGCCCTCTATGTTTGGGACGACATCAGGTGCAGCAGTTCAGAATCGTTCGGATGAATGTGGTTAGATTTTAAAAAAGTTTTCCTTCAGCAGCTAGATTATAAATGTTCAGAAAAGTTGGAAATGAGCAGATGGACTGAAGCAACAAATTAAATTAAAGAGGAATCCACGCGGGCGAGCAAAGAGAGCGAGAGGAAGAAAGGAGGAAAAGGAGTCAAAAGAGAAGAGGGGAGGGGTGGTGGAAACAGACACTAGCAAGATGGATGAGAGAGAGAGAGAGTACGTGAGATTCTGGGGTGCACACAAAATCTAGAAATAGCTGTCAGGAGTGTACTTATGCGACCCAAAAGAAGGTGAAGGGGTGAAAACGCAATTAAGAGGGCAACTGGGTTGGACAGAGAGGTGTGCCACCAGTTCATGCAGGGCGGGTCAGACCCAGTAGCGTTGATCTGGTCATGGCTTCCCCCCAGCTTTTGTCTCGTAATGCCACTAATAAATTAAAGCAAGCTAAGGGTGTCAGATAAGCAGGACTTTCAAAAGTCCCGTTTATTCTATTCTTCTCTGCTTTGGAACCTCCTCTTTCTCCTCTTTTTTTAAAATCTTAGAATGATGGCGGTCTCTATGGATGGGGGGCATTATGTCTGCTAAAGTGAGGGGCCTCGTATCCGCAACCATCCCTCATTTCCTGCTAACTTTGCCACTGCCAACCTTAGTGGACATAATTCATTTGCTTTCTTTAATTAATTACGTATGCTCCACTACTACTTCATCCTCACTACTAATCCATCCCCTCTTAACTACTCCTAACTAAATTTTTGCTTCACTTGATTAGGATCGGTAGCTCTCTATTTTTCTGCAACATTCAAATTAAATTGTATCTGTTTTGTGTAAAGAATGAACAGCTTAAAAGGCCAGTGGGTTATTCCTCCCGTTAATGGCAACTTTTCTCATGCATGCCAATCAACAATGCCATAGAGCCTCGCTCTCGGCCTTCTTCCCGTCTTAATATAAAACCTATATAAACATCCAATATAAAACCTATAAAAAAATCGCATTATTCTCAAGCAATATACGGACAATATGACTCCACTAATTGGATTTTGTGCAGAGTAACTGACTTATAATTTGGTTTTACTTTTATACAGGGAACAAATCGAAAAAATTCCTTAGGTAGTTTTGCATGTTTAATTTCCATATGTGGACGGCGGATGTTCGTGCTAAAAGAGATTCTCATTCACACGATCTTGTCCATTATACATGATGGACTTTATGAGGATTTGGATGCCTAAGAACTAAGGTCCGGTTTGATAAAAGATATTGAAAATAAGAAAGATAAGTATTGAAATTGAGATTGAGAAAAATTATTGAAAAACATTTAGTATGAGTAATTTTTTATTATATAGGATTATGCAATCCTATTTAGATGGGATTAGAGAATACGACCTTCCTTAATGATATTTCTCAATTCTATATATATGAATTTATTTTATCTCAAATAACAAACAATCACTTATATTAAACGTTTTTTTTCAACATTTTTTTAATTATAATCTCAATTTTTATTTCTGATCAATGCTTTTAGCTGGCGTAGTGCCAGCCTTATTTGTGAAATTGTGGGTATTCAAAATCAAAATCGGAGGAAAGTCATCTCGCTTTCTATATATGTACGTCTTTGTCTAGATGGATGCATGTATGTGTATAATGCATATATGCGTGTTCGTATGTATTATTTATATACATATAAGACAGACTGTCAAGTTCCTTTAACTGATTGAAGAAAACCACGTTAGTTAGGTTGTTTGGTTAAGGTGTATCTAACATTTTGAAGTATTTTCTCAAGTGCATCCAGCATCTTAAGATGTTTTGTGGTGTATTCAGCATCTTGAATATTTTTTAGGGGCACCCAGCACTTTAAAATACTTGTTGAATTTTAAAAAGATAAATAGACCATGTTGATTATTTTTTTAATAGTTTTAACTTGATTTGTAATGATTTTTACAAATCAAAATCTATTAAAGTTATCTATTTACTATTTGAAATTTCACATATATTATTCTGTCATTTTTCCTAATAAATTTGGGGCATTGGCATGACAATAACGATCGACCATGGAGGGATAAATACCTGATGCTGTAAAAGAGAAGGAACAGCCAAAAGCAGTACGCGTACGGCTCTGAGAATATTGTAACAGGCGCGGTACTGAATTCCTAACTAGGAGCCCCACAATATACTATACTATTTAATAAAACAATAAATGAATAAGTGCGTAAATCAAGTCGATTTTTTTAAAAAAGTAAAAAGGCCAATACATAAATCCACACAAGAAAAGGAAGGTGAGGCGCAAAGTAGTAACATTGCAGAATCAGTTTTAGTACTCATTAATTTGATAAGCACGTTAAACTCATCAAATTTTGATTATTTATATTATTCATATCTCATTTGAATAGTTTGAATTTTATTTTTTGTTTTTTATTTATCTAAAATAATTATTTTAATATGTATAGAATCTAAAATAAAGATAATTTTTTAACTATTATTTTTTTAAAAAATAGTTTTTTATTTAAAAAATAATTAATTAAATATTTTAAATTTGTACTGTTCAAATCAAATATAAATGATCCAGATTTGATGAATTTAGGATGCTTATCAACATAATAAGTACTGAAACTGGTTACCAAGCTTTGCGCCATGGTTAGCATTTTAGAAAAATCCTCCACTGAATGGGAGGAGTCATAAGATTAAATATCATCTTTATTGATGAGTATATTTAAGCTAACGAGGTGGTAGATTAATACATACGCATGTCTGACTGCGGAAGGTATACTTTAAATAGAATCAAGAAAGAAGAGGGAGGGGCCAGGGAGGCACCCACCACCACCGCTCGTGCGCGCTCTCCATCGATGGCGGCTTGGCCCTTCGCTTATTAATTTTCATCATTAATCGCATGCTTCCAAGTCATAAGCTGTTCCATTTGCCTCAATCCTCACTCCTCTTCGTCACGCGCCCTCCTGATGCGTCCGTCCCCACGCCCTCTACGCTACATGTTATTTCCCTCATTCTCGAAATGTAACTCCAGTGCGGTGTGGGGTGGGGGTGCAATGGAATAGCGAGCAATGTGGGAGAGGGAGACAACCAGAAACTTTTGAAGGCTACCAACAGTTGACATTACGTCTTTTTAGACTCCTTGTGGGCTCCCCCCCCCCCTCCTTCCTTGTGTATTTATATCCCTCCTCTTTGCTCCTCCTCCTCACCTCTCTTCATTGTCTTTGATTCCGTTCTGTGCTAGCTAGCTCCGATGGCTGAATCAGCCTCCGCCGCCTCCAGAAGAATGTGGTGCTCCGTCCCGGAGCGCTTCCAGCTGCATGCCGCTATGCTGGCCTTGCAGTTTGGTTACGCCGGCTTCCACGTCGTCTCCAGAGCTGCCCTTAACATGGGCATTAGCAAGCTTGTTTTCCCGTCTACCGCAACATCATCGCTTTACTCCTCCTCCTCCCCTTCGCTTACTTCATTGAAAAGTTAGTACACTGCTCTCTTCAGATCAATGCCCACCTCTAATATATATAAATATACATCTTTGTTTGTTGTGTGTGTGTAATTCAACTATATACACACTGGTTTCTCACCACTGTTAACGACTTCCTCTTATGTTCAGGAAGGATAGGCCTGGGCTTACCCTTAACTTTCTCCTACAGTTCTTTCTTTTGGCTCTTGTCGGGTACGCTCCCTACAAATTAAAATTACAATAATCATTATTTTCTTCTTCAAAAATCAAAGCCACGAGCTAAATTAAATAGCTAGAGGCTGTTAATTTGGCAATACAATTTTGGTCACACAGGATCACAGCGAACCAAGGGTTCTACTTACTCGGGTTGGACAACACGTCGCCAACCTTCGCATCGGCTATACAGAACTCAGTCCCAGCCATCACTTTTCTGATGGCAGCCATACTGAGGCAAGCCCTAATTTCCTTGACGTACCTTGTTCGTTGATGTTTTTGAAGGGATCTCACAAATGGGAACATCAATAAGCGTGTACTTTATTTTGTTCAGGATAGAGCAAGTGAGGCTGAACCGAAAAGATGGTGTGGCCAAGGTGATCGGAACCTTATTCTGTGTTGCCGGTGCCACCGTGATCACTCTGTACAAGGGTCCTACCATATACAGCCCATCTCCCCCACTACACAGTACCGCCACATCCACATTCACACCACTGTTTCCCTCACTTGGAGATGCAAAGGGCAAAAACTGGACCCTCGGCTGTATCTTCCTCATCGGACATTGCTTGTCCTGGTCTGGCTGGCTAGTCTTGCAGGCACCAGTTCTCAAGAAGTACCCCGCTCGCCTTTCTGTCACGTCTTTCACCTGTTTCTTTGGACTCATTCAATTTCTGGTTATTGCTCTCATCTTCGAAAGAGACTCACAGGCTTGGGTTTTTCGCTCTGGCGGAGAAGTTTTCACAATCTTATATGCGGTTAGTACTTTATTCATTATTTGCATGATAATCTTTTGCCGCTTAATGCTCGTCGAGAACAAAGCCGGTCACTTTTTCTAGAGAAGTTCTGGTTTACGCTGTTGAGTTGGTGTGTGTGAGTGTGGGTTTCGGGGTACGCAACATTCATAAAACAATAATGGATTAATGTTTTGGGAATACGGTGGTTGGTGTGTATTATATTATTAAGTGAAATAAGAAAGGAAGTGTGTATATAATGCAGGGAGTGGTGGCATCTGGAATAGCCTTCGCTGTACAGATATGGTGCATCGACAGAGGTGGCCCTGTGTTCGTAGCGGTGTATCAACCTGTTCAAACTCTCGTTGTCGCTATTATGGCTTCCATCGCTTTAGGCGAAGAGTTCTACTTGGGCGGGTTGGTCTCCCTCCCTCATATATAAATATATATATATTTTATTCATCGCCATCCACACACTTTTCCCTTTTCTCTGCATAGCTTTACCTTGCTTACTTCCAGAGATCCAGTTCTTTTAAAATCGAGCCCGAGCCACCAAAAGTATCGTTCGGCTACGAGAGGGGTAATTTTGGTTGTCGGGAACTTTGAGAATTCTTACAATAACGACAAATGAAATCTCCTAAACGACAAGTGGGTGATGGAGGTGGGTACAGCTCGGAACTTTCGGCGAGAACTGAGAAGGGCTTCACGATGAAACAGCCTTTAATGATTTCGGAGTGCTAAAAGGCTAAAGCTAAACCTTTAAAAGAAAAGGACAAGGACGATTAATAATTAAAGATTCTGGAGGGGGATGCACATTTCTTGCTGCTCTTTCTTATTTGTTTATTTTAATTCTTTGCCGTTGCAGGATAATAGGGGCAATCATGATCGTAGTGGGATTATACTTGGTGCTATGGGGTAAAAGCGAAGAAAAGAAGTTCGCAAAGGAACAGCTTGCGATTGCGTCCACGGCGGAGCACAGCGGCGGCACCCCCAGGCCGGCAGGCCACGCCAAGACCTCACTTACTCAGCCACTTCTTCCTTCATCAACGGAAAATGTCTGATCTCCGCACTGCCCTGACTTTTAACTAGAGTCTTAATTTAACTTCTTTGATATGGGCCCAAAAGTGATAGTAGTATCGCTACTACCCTCGTGTATCAGGAAGCTAAGCTTGTGCGTGTATGAAGGGATTTTCCTCTGCCTATGAATATGTTTGCTTTTAGTTAACGCGGATGATTTCTTGCTGAACCTTTAGATCACAGGAATATTGTGATGTCACTTGAGTGGGGCATATAAATATGACCTGATCAAATCCCCACAAGCTTTATTGCGTGTTAATTTGTGGCTTGATTTACGAAAACTGCTCGGTTAATTAATTACGTGAGGTACTGTGTAATGGCAATGGTAATGATTAAAAATGTATAGAAAGCAGGTCAGCGGAGACCCACAGAGCACTTATGATATATACGTCGTTGGGAATTTTACTTGTTCATGTGAGAAGGGAATAGAAATGGAATTTCTGGCGCCAGCGTGTGTGGTTTGTTCTCTTCACATTTCGTCAGTAATAAGAGGAGGAATCCTAGGAGTCATAAAGAAAATCGTCCTTCCATATCTTACCGATGAATGAATACCTTTTTTCTTTTTTTTTTGGGCCTGAACCCGATGAATGAATAATGGAATATTCATGGAGGCTCATTCTTGGTATTAGTGAGCTTCAAAACACTGGCATGCCATCAAAAAAAGAAATTTAAATATGTTTTCATTTGAAATACTACTCCCAGTTCTAATTATAAGATCTTGTTTATAGACTATAAATGTGGTCTCATAATTAGAACTGGAGGTAGTATGTCATTTGAGAAGCAGGCTTAATTGGAATCATTCAATTTCCTTTGAGGTTGTCAGTCAGTGCCTATCCTTTTTTTCTTATAGGGATTAGACGAAAATTAAATCATGATCTTACAAATAATTTTATAGTATATGAAGCAAGTATGTGAAAGAAGTTTTATCTTCATCTGTAAAAAATATTTTTAAAAAGTGTTTTTAGAAATATCCAAACTCCACCTTAACCTTATACAAATATTTCAGTACTTACCGCACAACCGAGGCAAAGTGCAGTGTCTAAGAAAAATGACATATTCTAAAAAATACTAGACGCGCTTCTAAATTACCGACTAATTAATGACATTCTTAATTGGCAAAAATATTCAAACATATGTGTCTACAGGCACGAGCAGTTATATTTTTACGAACCAGGCCTACTTTTATTGGCAAAGTTTTCCAGCGACAACTATTTTATTTCCAAAAAAAAGAAGTCAAATTCAAAAGTGAGGAATAGTTTGGAACAGGCGGAGCACAAAGGCAGGACAATGTATACAGTTAAAATAAAAAGGAAGGGAGTGAAGAGAAACGAGGACATGGAAAGGGGGGAAAGAAGAAACATAGATAAATAAAGCAGAGGATGTGCGCAGTAGCAATGGCCTACCGTGGTTACATGATTTTCAAACAATTTTGCTCACATTCTTAGCTTGACGTTTTAAATATCTGTTAGTGCGTGTGCGTGGGGAAGTGCAACTGCCAATTTGCTTTGAGTCGGTTTGATGCGAGACGGCACAATCAGCCTTGTGTTGTCCACATGCGTCGCTATCTACTTGCTCGGCCATTAGGGCCCAAATCTATCAAACCCGACGAGCAGTTACGGCCGAAGCATATGAGGAGCAGCATTGAACGCTGTGTGCTATCCGCCATCCACGTCTCTGCCTTATTTCTGATAACGACACCCACTGGCTGACAATTCTAGGTACAATTATAGTTAATCAATTCTCATTACCATTATTATGATTCATTTAATCAACACGCCCCCATTTCACATCATCCCTGACAGTGAATGCTCAATTAGCCGGCCAGGCCCACGATTATCAATTTAATCCTTTTTCTTTACAACCACTTTTATTAATTAGTTTATTCACGTCGTCAATTAACCCCTGCTTTTCCTGATTGCTTCCCCTCTTTAATCTCTGCGCGCTTCTTTTCATCCTTCATTTTGTCTGGCCAATGCCCCTCAGGTGTTGCCACTTTAAGCCTCAAAATATCTGTCTTTAATTTTTCGATTCCCCAACCATATATTCTATGTCCAGAAACTATTGGATCCAACTCTTCGACTCTTGTCTGACTTCTCGTGAAACATTATGAGCCGAAGCTTTGCGTTTAGACGGACGGGGACAGGAGAATACTCCTCACTTCTCGTATGTTTATATAGATTAAAAAAAATCTTAATTTTATTAAATTTATTTAAAATTTAATAACTTTTCAACTTTATTTCTATCTAATATATATTATACTTTATATAAACAAAATCATCATAATAATAAATGAAAGGTAAAACTATACATTCATCATATAAAAAATATCTCTCAGTACCCTATAAATAAAACAAAAAAATATATTATCTTCCTATCCCATAAATAGGATCAGAAGAGAAGAGTACGTATCTATTGCTGTGGGCATTGAGCAAGATACAAGAAGTAATTAAAGAGTCGGACAAGAGAAGACTTGGATGAAAGAAGACCCTCATGCAGGAGATGATGTCCGAAACACAAAAATTCCTTGTATGGTTATCCCAAGCTGTCGTTGATGCCTCATTAAGCACTCCCCATATAACTCTGCACAGACCCATTTTACAGTTAACTTTTACACAGCTCATTCTCTCTCCCTACACACTTCTTTACCCGGCGATAGAAACAGACAAAATCCGCTAAATATAATAGGAAAGGCTATATCCCAAGCTGTCCTGGGGGGAGGAGAGGCTTTATCCTGTAGCTTTTCAGTGGTCTGTGAACCCGCGGCTTTCTATCGTGGTTTGAATATAATAGGAAAATAGTGATAAATAATATATGTATATGTGCATGTTAATATTATTGTATTATAAGGGCTATATCTACTGTATCATATCATGCGTAATTTAATATATATATCTAAATTTTTAGCGACAATGATAAGTGAAAATTGTGCTTTTTCTTCTAATTATACTGATGATAAAATATTCGTAAATTTCATGAAAATTATTATTATCATGATGATGATGCTGGGTGCTGAGATCCAACGATGAAAGGCTGAGTCCACTCTGCTTTGCATCTGGACTTCTTTTGCATGGGTCCATTTTATAAAAGTTCTATGGGCTCATGTCCACCTTGGCTAGGCCTAGCCCGTCGAGTGTAGAAGATGCGCTTTTTGACTTATGCCCCACGCTCTGTCTCTTGCACAAGCCATGGTGTTTTGTGCCGATATCTAAGATGCCTTGGATACTAAGATTCATTACTTGACTAAATGCAGGAATGTGCAAATGTTCATTATTCGTTTTTATCAAAATCAAAAATTCATTTGGTAGTTTTGAGGCAAGGTATAAAATTGAATGTGGAATGATTTATTTTTTTAAAAAAAAAAGGCTCTCTGGGTAAACAATAATCGATTTATCTTCATTTTTTTCAAAATATATTTTTCCAAGGAAACCATGGTTTCGGTATACGTTATGGAGAACAACTTCATATAATTAGCATAGTCACTTTTAACTACCTCACATATATTTAAAAAAGTTATTAATGCTCCGTTAACACGTAAGATGACTGTCAATTAACATTAAATTAATATGTTTTAAAAGGTGTGCTGCATTGAGACCACGAGTAGCAAATGAGAAAATCTGGTTTTTACGTGCCTGGCCATGTTGAATTTCCTGTATGAAATGAAATGTTTTCGTCAATTTATATATATATATATATATATATAATATTCTTGATCATTTTTATTTTCGGAAATCGAATATAATTCAAAACCTTGGATCCTTTTATAACTGGGACTTTAAAATTTACAATTCGAAGGTTGATATTTACAATTTGAAGGTCTTTATTTTACATTTGTGATGTTCTTCTAGGATCCTTAACCGTCATTCTTCCATTTTTTTCAACCAACATCAGTTTAAAAAATGACCTAAGATGGTTTAACTCCAGTGTTTTTATTTTCTTATTATATCATTATTGAAATGTCTTGTCAAATTCTAAATTACTTTTTTTAACAGTTTTTCTAAGACTTCCAGACACAACATAATAGAGCTCCAAGAGCGTGTATGATGAAAATTTGTAAGCACAGTGTCAAAAGAAACCAGCAATATAATCAAAATACTGCATTAAGGTTCATTCAACTTAATTAACAGGATTCCACACCGGCGGCCATTCCCACGTATACTCTGTAGAATACTACACTGAAAGAAACTATACGATGGAAAATTTATTTAAAGTGTCAAAAAGAAAATAGTATGGTTAAAAAAATAAATATATGGAGCTTTATTGAACCAAATTGAATTTATTACAAAAGGACTCGTAAATAAATTTAAACAGTCAATTCAATGCTTGTTTTACATTAAAAATGTTACATGCATTTACTATATTTAAGATAATCGTACAAACTTATGTGTTACGTGCCGTGTTCAATCTTTTAGCATGTTAAGTGTACTGTACGTTTAGAGTGGCGTTCATGCCACGCAAAACTTTACGGTTATAATACCTTTAAAATCGAGTTTGAGGTGGGTCCTACTGCTCTAGGGGCATTTTAATTATTTTTTTCAATATTTAAAACAGCTTTGATAAGATTTTATGAAAAAAATGATGTAAAAAACAATGGAGTTAATTATTGTGAGGTGGAAAATCAGCTCTAGGGAAAAAATGGCATTTAAAAAGAAAATGTATAGGTGGGAGTCAAAGAAATTAAAGGGAAGTTCTGGATGGAAATGCGATTTGTGCAACATAATAAATTATTAACGTTGCAACTGCAAAAGTGTTGATGAGGCTGAATTAAAAACAAGAAAAGAAGTACTAAAAATAGAGATGCAACAAAGTTGAGCATTAAGAGTGGGGACAAAAAGACGGTTTCTGAGTAGTGGCGGCATTGTGTGTGTACTTTAAAAAAAAAAAAATGGTGACGTACGTCCCAATCCAATGTACATTGAACGATCTGCGCAAGTTCATGCCTTCTATCATTATTAGCCTTCCATTGTCCTTTTCTTCAATTTTTCCTTTCATCATAAGCTACGGCCTTCGGCAGCTCTGCCGGAGAAAAATCATTATTTTTTAAAATGAATTTCAGTTGCAGATTTCTTTTTTAATATATTAATTTTTTTTAAGTTGGCAAAAAAAAGTATTAATATTTTTTAAGCTGTCAAGATACTTCTCCTCGCCAATTTATATCAGAATTAATTGGAGGCACCTCTTTTCTGAAACCATGCTACGATATCAGGATAAGCGTTTTGGAGCGTTTAATTAATTAATGTTGTTTCCTGAAATTCTCGATTTCCTGATAAAGACCAGAAGTGAGACGCAGTCAACTCTCCCCCGACCCGATCGAGATGAAAAGACGAGGCGAAAAAAGAATCTTTAAACTTGAAATGGTGGCTTAGAATCTCATCACACACGACGGAATCTTTGACATCGGAAAAATAAAATTAAAAAAAAAACATATGGCTGCTCCCAAGCTTCAACTGCACAAGACGAACTTTATTTTTTCGAAATACAGCGGACACATTTTTATTATTCACACACGGAAACGAAACACAGCACATTATATAGATATATATATATATATATATCTTATATAGAAAAAGGCCCCACATGGGCAAGGCACGTGATTGATTTATAACTGATACAACCACGAACCTTTTTTCCTTCATCACCATCTATCCCTATCCATACACTAGCTCTTATATATAACTCCTGAAGTAAAAGTTACTACATGACTCACCTTTGTTTTTTCTTAAAAAAAAATAAGAAAGGAAAAAAAAAAACAGAAGAAACAAGGAAAGAAAACCTAAATAACCTATTTACATATATATGGTAAAATTATGTAATAAGAAAAGAAGGCGAACGGCGGCGTGCAGAAATAACCACGGCGTCGCGACCTTGAGCGGACTGAGATATATAGCACATATACATATACTACTGCTTCTAGGCTGTAACTAGCTAGGAGTAGCCAGCTTGCGATCATCTGTATATGTATTTACAGAGCGCTCCTTTATATATATATATATATATATATATATATTTGTATGAACCCTGCTGGTATATATGACGGTATATGATGATGGTATAGACAGTGATGAAGTCAGTCAGAGGTTGAAGTGCACTCACATGCACCAGGGAGTCTGCAGAGAGTCCCAGGGAGCCACATCTCCCAAAGTCCCATTCCCATATATTCCCGCATCAGACATTACAGGAAAATCCAGAGACATGGCAGCTTCGGCCCAGATGGAATCATCGAACTCAGGGACAGGCAGGCCCTCGCTCATCGTTCCCCACAATTGACCGAAATCCTCCTCCTTCTCAATCGGCTTCATCAGGTTCTCCTCGGCGTTGAAGGGAACGGACATGGTCGAGCCAGAGCTAGAGCTAGAGTTAGGGCTGTACGCTGGTGCAACTTGCTGATGAGAAGCCATGGCGGACATCATCGGAGAATTATTGGGGATGGGGTTGAAGGAGCAGGGAGGGATATGAGCAGCAGAGTTGTGGAGCAGCTGATGATCTGGCATAGGCTGGTGATTGGGCGCCATTTGAGGAACCTGAGAGGGGACAGAGGAATGCGGGGGATCAGGCTGGGAATGAGAATTGAGAGAGAGGTCGGGAAGGTTGAGCTTGGCCTCGGAGCCGTAGAGCTTGCGAGCGGCGGCGTCGTAAGCCAAAGCAGCTTCATGGGAAGTCTCGAAGGTGCCGAGCCAGAGGCGGGCGCCGCGGTTGGGCTCGCGGATTTCGGCGACCCATTTGCCCCAAGTCCTCTGACGGACGCCTTTGTAGGTGCAGCTGGCGTTCTCAGGGCCTCCTTTGCCTCTCATACAGCCTTTTCTGGAGCTGGCCTGGGCAGGCCGTTTCACCTGCCTGCGTTCCTCAATTCCCATCCCTGATTTCAGCATTTCGACGAACGATGAGGGGCACTTACAAACAGCGAATTGTTGTTATAAGCGCTCGGCTTTAAAGGTAGAATAAGGGAGATGGCGAGTGTTTATATAGGGGGCAGAGGCAAGAGAGATGAGAATGTGAAAGCAGAGTGTAGTGTATACAAGTACCTGAAACGTGGCCTCAGGTGGGGTGGCCTTTGCTTGCTACTTGGCACGATGAAGCAGACAGATCGTGTCCGCTGAGAGCCTTATTGTTCATTTCTCTATTACACACTTGGCCTCCCCTTTTGTTTGCGTGTGAGCTCAGCTGGCTCAGCACCATAAATCACCAGTACTTGTTTTTGCCATTAATTAATTAATAATCATAGTAATGAATCATGATGGATAGTGTATGCGAAACACAAATCTTATTAAAATAACGGGCAAGGAAAAAGGTTAAAAAAAAAAAAGGAATAAAGGAGTGAGGGAGAAAAGGCGGTTGTTTGGATAATGTGCGTATTTTTTTAAAAAAAAATTTTCAGCGTAAATGAGGAGTGGATAATGAGCATTTAAGCAAAGGGAGGGGGCGGTGTGATTTGGAAGAAACGGTTGAAGATAAGTACGTGCGGGGGTTCCAAAAGCTCGCACATGAGAATTAGGGACGCAGTGGGTGGGACGTGGTTGAATTACAGGACTTGGATTTCTGTGCGCATAAGAGCAAAACCAGATCCAATGGACTCAGGCGCGCACTACCACATGCGACATAACTGTGAGTTTACCGAAAATGATCGGCGCATGTACTTCCCCAGCCCTCTTATTATGCACGTTCATTGTATTTGTTTCTCCCCCTCTCATTTCCCTTGTTATTGTCATTATTTACAGTCGCCTCAACACTTGACTCTGAGCTTCTTCCACATATACTAATAAAAGAACCTCCAGGACCATCCTCCAAAGCCAGAATCCCCGTTGTCCCTGACATCAAACAACTTAACACGTTTACAAAAAAGTTGGGATACTTGCTCAGAGTCCGTTCTTAGCCACAACCAACTTATATCGGTGGACGGCAAGGAGAGATTGGATAGACACTAGCATAGATAGCACCCTATTATATATATACGTCGTACATATGCATGGAGGACCCTTTTTTGTTATTTATATAGATAGATTGCACACCCTATATTTTGTGTCGCGTTACACCTCTCCTAAAAGTGGACAAAACATGTGAAAGAGCTCCAACATCTCCCAACCTGGGACGAGAGGTAATCAACGGGTCATAGTTAATTACAACACAAACCGTAGGCTCTAAATGCACACTTTTTGGTGGTTCTTCTGATGATAATCTCTCTGTTTTTGTTTATCGGTTTATTTGTACAGAGGTGGTGTAAACTCGAACTTAAAACTCCATTGTATCCTCAACCATCTTTTAACAGTTATTTAAGTTTCATCCGAAAGCTCTAGGCTAGCCTAAGTTGAGTGACGGAAGATGAGAGGACCTCTACCCTGAGTCCGTCCATAGATAGGCATTGTGTGATTTCGCTCTCATCTTCTGTGTCTCCAAAGGTAATTGGAAAAAATGACGTCAGTTGAAAAGCCAAACGGTTTAGACGTTAAAGCAAAAGACAAATTAATAACAGCAGCCTGTGAGAGGGATATAGATCCCGTTACATGGGGATTGTTTGTCAATTTATCCTCAAGTCCAGAATTACGTTAAGAGGGACACAACCATGGACACTTCCATCACGGCATCGTGCCTTTCATAGTTACAATCACAACACTCGGAAGTTACAAGCTAATCATCAATACAACATGGACGTCACAGTAATTGCTCAACACCATTTATCATAAATGGTATCACTAATTCTTTTTCATGGCGCTCCTGATGACTACTCTGCCATGTTTGCTCACAACCATCCATGGTTGAGGATCTAAGTCAATCCACAGACAATGCTTCCATTGTCTTAGAGGTCTACTCGCCTGATTCAGTTTGCAATTTTTTCATCTTGCTCTGTGGTAAAGCCAAATGAAGACCAGGAGCAATGGAAAACTGGTGGCAGCCACCTCTAGATTTGAGGCGGATGTCGTTTCAACAAAGCATCACTTGCCAGCTTCTGAGGGCGAATTCAAAGCCGATGATCCTTCAGGGGGATCCATACACTTCCTTAAAGCTTTCCTTATCTCCTTTAACATGTCGTCTACCATGATGCCCTTCCTACAAGAAGTAATATCAAACATATTTTGACCTTAGCTACTCTGCAAAGTATCCTCTAACTGTTCTGAACAAACGCTACATGTGTGCGCGCGTTACGGGCAAAACGGATCAGAAAATAATACACAATGTTTAGCACAATCCCCTGAGAACTTTTATGGATGAAGTAAGCCTCAGAATTTGTGCATGAACTAAAACGTGAGTAGAGAATAGATTTTCTAAAATAATAGGGGTACTGAGAAAATTGTGTTGTTTCTTTTATCCCAGAAGAACCATGGTAGATAAAATTTTCGAGCCGTATTGCATAATATTGAACGAAACCATCAAGCACTTACAAAACACTAACACCCACAACGGACAGGGGTGGGGGATAATCCTCTAGTTTCTTTTCCTTGGTGACAACTTCATTGGATAATGACTGATCTGGAGCTTCAGGGGTTAGTTTTAGTTCAGAAGGGGTACCAACGCTCCCAATTCTCAGTATTTCTTCAGTCAGTGATGGAAGCCTGTCCTTTGCCTGAAACAATAATCAGCTTAAACGTTAAGGTGAAATTCTGATTAAAGATTTCAAATAATCTATGCCATCATCGGTCCACAAAGTGGTGGGAAGCTACATACCTCTGGAAGGTCAATCTTATTTAAAATCACAATGTATGGTCGGTCAAGGTATTCAGGGTTATACATGCGCAATTCCTACAGAAATAATTCCAATGGGGACGCAGCATCAACAAGTCAACTCAAGAAAAGGACTGGCAATTGGCGAAAGCACATTGCATTATTTGAAAAACCAAACATGCTCGCTAAGAAGGGTAAAATTATGCAGGGAATTCACACATATAAGTGATACATACTTCCCTGACTGTTCTATAGTCATTGATGGGGTTCTCAGTGGCTGCATCAATAACATGGACCAGAAGCCGGGTCCTCCTGAGGTGCCTCAAGAAATTTCGACCAAGACCCTTAAAACATGAATTTTCAATTTCACACTTAGCACCATCCCCATGGCAAATAGTTGGTACAGCGGACAACATTATAAACATTCATATATCATACCTTTCCTAAGTGGGCACCTTCTATAAGACCAGGCAAATCTGCTAATGTAGCTTCAGATGAAAACATCCCTGCTCCCAAACTGGGGTCACCACCTAGGCGTCCAAGGTTTGGCATTAATGTTGTAAAAGGATAATCAGCAATATCAGGCTTTGCCTGTGTAATGGCTGCCAGTAGTGTTGATTTCCCAGCATTTGGAAGTCCCTATATCAAAATTTTCTTAATCTCCTGAAAAAAAAATGAATGAAAACACTTGGACATTTATGAAGATAGGACAGACTTTGTGATTGATCTCGTTTTTGAGCACCGAACGCTTTGTGATAGGCCTCTTATTATATTAACTTGCAGTGTCACGTAGTTTATGATATTAAGATAGACGTTATGTAAGGCTCAATAAAATCACATCGTTCAAATGTCTTATGATTACTTTAGGTTAACAAACAGTGAAGTGGATGCTGACCAGGTCACTGAGGCAAACCTTTGTAGAAACATAACAAGTTCGTTACTGACACAGCCAACAAATTTGGGTGACATCAATTGATATTGTGTACCATGGTGGAATAATTTATTAGGTTCTGAATATTATGTCTTTGTGCTTTAAATGTGATATGAGCATAAATAAGCATAAAAATTTGTTGGCCACAAAAGCATCAACATTTTAGTTTCCCATGAATTGCACAAGTACTCTTACCAGTGTTCTTGCGAGAAAAGCCACTGATCAGCATCCAATGAATAATTATTGAAAAGATACAAAAGAGGGGGCGGGGGTGCTAACTATTTGAAGGGCGCATTTCGCATAGATCCAGTACTTACAACTAGACCAACGTCAGCAACAACCCGTAGGATCAACTCCAAGCTAACTTCCTCACCTGGCTGACCATGAACTAAAACCTGTAATAAATATTTTAATTCAAATGTTATATCTGACAATAAATTTGAGGCACAAATTATAACAGATTTGCTAAAGTTTCATTCATATTTGAAAGGGAATAATAATCAATCAGTCCTATACTTTACACTTACTTTCAAGTAGGTCCCTATATTTTAAAAGTCTGGAAAGAACTCGCTATAATTTTCACCATTGGCAAAGTTAGTCCCCAAAGTTAAAATCATCACAAAACTATCCCAATGATGCACAAGTGGCATTAATACTGTTAGGTTCATATTATTCAGGAAAAAGAAAGAAAGAAAGAAAGAAAAACGATTGAGGCTGGTGATTTGTGGTGATTATATATATGGACTCCAATTCTCTTTCATGTCCTCATTCATCTCTAATTTCCACATCACCAGCCACATCCTAATATTTTTTTCCATATTATGATTACCTCGATGGTGTTAATGCCACTTGTGCACCACAGGGGTAGTTTAGCAAAGAAATTTAAATTTGGGTACTAACTTTGCTAAACGAGAAAATTATAGGGAGTTCTTTACAAACTTCCAAAGTATAACGGCCTATTTGAAGATAAGTGTTGGGACTGATAGATTAACTGATTAGAAAAAAAATGACAAATAAAAACATATTTAACAAATTGCAGGCGTAACCATACATCTCTCTTAAACTTATTGATTATTCATTGCCCAAGGTAATGCAAAATTCTAACCAACTTTGATCAAAGCGTAACAACAACAGAATCCTATTGATTCAATCTCCTAATACAAGGTATTCAATTAAAAGCACAAGAATTGAATTATGAAAGGCACCGTCTTCTCAGTGACATATCTCTCCATGGAAAAACATGGCAAAATGTTTTATACACTGTATTTATAAATTACAAAAGATATATATATATATTTTACCTTATCAGTGTCATCTCTCAACACATTTGTTGTCAATGCCATCATCTTTTTCCGTTTATGCTGTGGCAGATCTAACAAGCTAATCTGCGTTTCGCAAAACTAAAATGAGGAGAAGGTTGTGAATTCAACTATACATGAAACATATGCCTGAGAACTAGCATCATATATTTCGGGCACATGTACTTATAAGGGGGGTTAAATAACTGTCTGTACCATAATACTACTTCCAGTCCTTAATATAAGACTTTATTTGACTTTTATTTTGGTCCTAAATATAAGACCCTAATCCACTTTTTCTCTCATATTTATGCATTTTTTCCTAATATAGTCCTTCTAACAATAATAGTTCCAACTAATACATTTTATTAGTAAGGATACTTTAGGAAAGACAACACCTATTTATTACAAATAACTAACTCAACTTCTTTCCTTAATCTCCTCAAATTAATGAATTAACTCTTATAAATAGGACCGGAGGTAGTATACATTAATCCATAACAACTATACCCAAAAACGTACACACACGTGAGAGGGGGGGTGGGAGTGAATAAATGAGCATAGCTATATAACTTATCGCCAAGATGACACAATATTGGTCACCTCAAAGCAATATATCGCGCAACAGTTTCGCTTCTTAATCAAAGGAGTCGGATGCAACACTCAATCATTAAAAGCAGCGGACTCCAAAAGAATTTTCAGAGGGAAGAAAAAGACATATTACCCCTCCTTGTCCCCCTCTTGCAACAAGAACTTCATCACCTGGTTGTGCCAGATCAGCCAGCATTTTCCCTCTCTTGCGTTTTACAACAGTACCTGTCACATTAGAAAACTCAGTGAGGGAAAGCAGATTTTAGCGCTTCATCTTTGCTAAATTTGAATGTATAGGTAATGTATGCCAATTAACTCATCGCAATTCCTCAAAGTTTTAAACAGTCGATAATGATTGTAGAAGGTTGGGAAAGCAGAACATTTCATATTCAAATCATATCTAACCACGACTAGTTCTTTACATAAAACACAAAAAGATCTCTTCAACGATTAAAAAAAGACTTATGTTAGACATACAAACCTACAGGCACAGGAATGCGCAGAGTTGGAGCAGCAATCCCATCATGCAATTGTGAGGTCAAAATTCCCATTGCATCAACATTGCCACCACGCTTTGCGTTATAGCGACTTTTGCTATGGAATTCCAACAATGCATCTTTTTCCTCATCCGCATAAATCACCACATCCCCTCCATGGCCACCCACTGGTAGGATAAGAGATCCATCAAAGTCTCTTCTATAGGAGTTTTTTTTCTTTGTCTTTTCCTTTTCATGTCTTCCTTGTGAAATATTAATCCTCTGGTTGGGCATGGTAAGTACAGCTCCATGGCCTCCGTCACCCGAGCGAACTGTGATGATTGCCTGATCAAAATACTTGTGAGGTTCCTTGATCACTGTCGGAGGATTTGAAGAAGGAGACACATTGACGCTGAGAAGTCTACACTTAACCGCGCACCATCCATGATTATCAGAATTGCATCTCTGTCGAAGATTCCTATATAGACAAGCAGACCCCGGATTAACAATATGGGGTGAACAAGTTATAGATTCCCCCCCCCCCCAAAAAAAAAAAGATGACAACAAGTAAGCTATTTATCATTCCATTATGAACCTCCGAGCATCATGTTCACTGAACAAGCTAGGGGCGTAAGAATTAGGAGCTTTAATTGCAAAGTTTACTGATAGAGGGGAAATTTAAGAGATTAATCAGATGGTGTAACCAAGCCTTATAGATTATTTAACGCCGAACAAGAAAACTGATTCCAAAGTTGGCAATCATAAGAGCGGAACGAGGTTTGAATATACAAAAGTTCCATGAAATCCAAATATTTACTGGGTCCAAAATTGGGTCGTTAAATTTTACAAAAATGCGCCACTTCGTAAACATGAACTGAAGAACTTAAAAGATGGGTTTGGAACTTCTGATAGAAGTACCTTGGAGGAAGAAGGCGAGTGGAAAAGAAGGAAGTTTCACGGAAGCTAAGGATAGAACATGAAGCTGAAAATGGTGGAGAAATCAGAGTAGCCATTACCCGAGTCCGGTGACCAGTTCGCGGGACAGATGGATGGGGAGATTGGGAGACGAGTAGAAGGGCGGAACACGTGTGAGGCCACATGGGTTATTTTATTTTATATAGCCCCCAAACCCAAGCCCATTTATTTTCCGACCGTAACCAGAACATGCCATCCTCCTCAGCTCAGTCCCCCCCCCCCAAAAAAAAGGCAAATATTAAAAACGAAGAGGACGTGAATCCAAGGCCTTAAACCGTGACAAGCATTTCGAACCAGAAAATTTTGACTTCCGGAAGTCCTCATTCATTCCGAAACACCATAAATTCATTTGCTAAAAAAAATTAAAATTAGAAAATAATATTTATTTTATGCTCTACCCACTAAAATTTAAAAAAATTTAAATATTACAAAATGAAATAGAATACAATTAAACCCATCTAATTCTAATATTAAAGTATCAACATTGACTCGAAAACAAATTCTGCTTTGGGCGCGGGACTCTAGTCACATAACCCTCCAAAAGAGTTACCATGAGCAAGTTACCTTATGAAAGAGTTTTCTGCTAAGAAAAATATTTTTTTAAATACATGATATTTAGTTTGGCCCAAAAAAATGCATGATATTTAGTAAGGTTAAAAATGGAAGCCAAAGCAATATTTGGACATTTTTTTATTGATGCAACCAACCTTTTTTCTTCTTCTTTTTTTTTAATTCAGTGAATACTCAAAAAGACCTCTACTAAAGAATCGATAATTTTAGCGGAACCGCCTCGGTCCTCGAGAGCTTGTCCCCGTGTCATGCAGTGCAGTCACGATATTATTAAGGCTCTCGTCCTCCCTTGACTTTCTGTTTCTAGTTTCTGGGCATTAGCCCAACTTCCTCACCAAAAACGAAACCGATAGTGTTTTTTCTTCTGTTTTTTTTTGGGGGGGGGGGGGGGTGGGTGAGGCTAATTTTGATTATAAAAGTACGATAGACAATAAAGATGGGAAAAAGACAGAAAAATGCACCTCCAACTCCAAAAGCCCAGAAACGTCCGCCCAATTCCACAAATCCCATTTTGGTACCAAGAGACCAAATTGGGATTATTATGTGAAAGGAAAAGACCACATTGCCCTTCATTTTAAATATTATTTTTAAAATATCACAGCCCTTACTGGCCGGCCGGTCACCGGACCTCCGGCAGCGGCGGTCACCGGAGCTCCGGTGACCAGTCGACAATTGGTCACCGGAGCTCCGGCGGTCGGAATTTTTTTTTTGAAAATTTTTACAACTTCAATATAACGGTTAACAACTTTTGTAATGTTATTCACAACTTCAGTATAACAATTAACAACAGCTTTTCTGGAAAATTCAACAAACTCCGGCGACCGGAAACAATTATTTTGAAAATTTTTACAACTTTAATATAACCGTTAACAACTTTTGTAATGCCATTTACAACTTCAATATAGCAATTAATAACAGCTTTTTTGGGAAATTCAACAAACTTCGGCGACCGGAAATAATTTTTTTGAAAATTTTTACAACTTCAATATAACCGTTAACAACTTTTGTAACCCTATTAACAACTTCAGTATAGCGGTTAATAACTTCAGTATAGCGGTTGAAAAAACCTGTTGTTAACCGTTATACTGAAATTGTTAATAGGGTTACAAAAGTTGTTAACCGCTATACTGAAGTTGTAAAAATTTTCAAAAAAATTGTTTCCGGTCGCCGGAGTTTGTTGAATTTCTCAGAAAAGCTGTTGTTAATTGCTATATTGAAGTTGTGAATGGCATTACAAAAGTTGTTAACGGTTATATTGGAGTTGTAAAATTTTTCAACTTCAGTATAACGTTCACAATTACGTTTTTTTGAAAAATTTTACAACTCCAATATAACCGTTAACAACTTTGATATAGCAGTTAACAACAAGTTTTTAAATTCAAAAAGTGACATTTTTATAACTTCAGTAATGCCTTTAACAAACTCAAAAACCTGTTGTTAACCGCTATACTGAAGTTGTTAATAGGGTTACAAAAGTTGTTAACCGCTATACTGAAGTTGTAAAAATTTTCAAAAAAATTGTTTCCAGTTGCCAGAGTTTGTTGAATTTCCCAGAAAAGCTGTTGTTAATTGCTATATTGAAGTTGTGAATGACATTACAAAAGTTGTTAACGGTTATATTGGAGTTGTAAAAATTTTCAACTTCAGTATAACGTTCACAATTACGTTTTTTTGAAAATTTTACAACTCTAATATAACGGTTAACAACTTTGATATAACAGTTAACAACAAGTTTTTAAATTCAAAAAGTGACATTTTTATAACTTCAGTAATGCCTTTAACAAACTCAAAAACCTGTTGTTAACCGCTATACTGAAGTTGTTAATAGAGTTACAAAAGTTGTTAACCACTATATTGAAGTTGTAAAAATTTTCAAAAAAATTGTTTTCGGTCGCTTGAGTTTGTTGTTGTTAACCGCTATAATGAAGTTGTTAATAGGGTTACAAAAGTTGTTAACCGCTATACTGAAGTTGTAAAAATTTTCAAAAAAATTATTTCCGGTCGCCGGAGTTTGTTGAATTTCCCAAAAAAGCTGTTATTAATTACTATATTGAAGTTGTAAATGGCATTACAAAAGTTGTTAACGGTTATATTAAAGTTGTAAAAATTTTCAAAATAATTGTTTCCGGTCGCCGGAGTTTGTTGAATTTTCCAGAAAAGCTGTTGTTAATTGTTATACTGAAGTTGTGAATAACATTACAAAAGTTGTTAACCGTTATATTGAAGTTGTAAAAATTTTCAAAAAAAAAAATTCCGACCGCCGGAGCTCCGGTGACCAATTGTCGACTGGTCACCGGAGCTCCGGTGACCGCCGCTGCCGGAGGTCCGGTGACCGGCCGGCCAGTAAGGGCTGTGATATTTTAAAAATAATATTTAAAATGAAGGGCAATGTGGTCTTTTCCTTTCACATAATAATCCCAATTTGGTCTCTTGGTACCAAAATGGGATTTGTGGAATTGGGCGGACGTTTCTGGGCTTTTGGAGTTGGATGTGCATTTTTCTGTCTTTTTCCCATAAAGATAGAGCCAAAGAATTTGCAGAACAAATGAAAATAATAAGGTACTACACGTGCCAGTTTTCGCAGTGACAAGCTTTCTTTCATCGCTAAATTATGGCCAAATGCAGACGCTTTTTACACCACATACCAGAACTCCAGAACAAGAGGAAAAAGAAAGTTTGGTTTAGCTGCTTCATCACACAAAGGTCAGGCGACACGTTAGATCAGCTGCCTAATACTGAATCCTCAGCCAGGAAAACATTGCAAATCTGTCCAGGGCCATTCAACTTAAGGAATATCACCAAACAACCACCACAGCCTGCTTATTAGATTATATAGACGAACAGGCTTTCAGACAACCGTCTACCCCTGGTCAAATCACCCGAATCCCATATGTGGCCACAAATGCTTGGGTAACCATGCGTCACTCCCAATATCACCCTTTGTTCATGTTTCAACTTTTGAGAAAATCCTTCAATGAAAAAGGTGGGGGCCCATCCTGCGGTGTGTAAGTTGAGAAGAAAATAAGGTTATCCGCCGGTAAGGTGTTACCACTTGCATCTCTCATATGAGTATTGTGCTCAAATAGATATCAAATAGTTCCGCAGTTCGAAAGAAATATGGGTCCAAACTAACTACGAATGCCACGCCATGAGAAATTAGCCAGGAATACGATCATTTAAAATCTCGAACCAAAGAAACAGGAATTGCCCATTACCTTTCCAGCCTCTTGACTTAAGCACTGCCTAACTACTGTAGCTTGTTGTATAAGCCTCTCCATTGCCGTGTAGCTGGGAAGGTTTGAGTGTTCTGGCAAATACCATTATCCACAAATTTTTTTTCAAAAGAAAAAAGTGAGAAATCAACACGATACACCATATATTTGGAAGGGCAGAAATGAAATATTGAATTTTGAAGCTAAATAATATGGTATATCCATGGAATAAAAGAACCATACTACCAAATAAGAAATCAAGTAACCAACCAAGAATAGCTCGATTTAAACTATCTGCAACCTGCTGCCGATACTCTAAGCTAAGCAGATGAAACATTGGGGATCTCTCTGGCTCTTTATAAGCGAGAAGGGCCATAAAGTCCTGTATAATAGGCAACCGAATGGTTAGGTATCAAATTAAATCTGAAGTAAATTAATGATTTAGTCTATAAAAGAATGAGTCTCCTTTCACTTTGATCCCCACAAGATAAAATGTCTCAATTTGGTCTTCCAAAGACAAAGGATCTCAATTTAGGGAACACCCTCAGTGGCGACATGTGAGGGCTAAACAATATACTTAGCCATGAGACTTTCCACTCTAGAGCAGGATAATGACATAAAGGAGACTCCTCTTCTACCACAAAACGAAAATGAACACCTTACTAAGCGTAATTGCCAAATGGTACCAACAAAAGGAAATTTCAATCAAAATGATCCTCCCTAATGTAAAAGCAGGACCGCACAAGACTACTGAGTAATAAACTTGACCATGTGTCTTCAACCCTCAAACCAACGCTGTCTATGTATCAAAAATTTTAGCACATCAAGGACTCACATATGCTTCTCAGTCCCACATATGTTTGAGAGACTTAATCTCCAAAGGACCCACATTTTTTTTGGCTTTTTTTTTTTTTTTGGGGGGGGGGGGTGTGGTTTCAAAGATTAATCATACACATGCCTCAAGCTTTTCCATGTACTTCTGCTCCTTCCCAAAAGGGCTCAGCTGGCTCTGAGCAAACTCCAAAGCTTCTGTGCTGCCAATAAAATGAGATTTAATGAAAGCAGATAGTATGTAAAATGTTCTTTTTAAAGCAAAATTAGACTAGGCTCACCATTTCCTAGAACGGACAAGCTCAACAAAATGAAGGCTTAAAAGATCAAACCGTAAGTCCTTATTCTTCTCAAGAATATCCTGTGCCAGCTGTTCAGTCAGCTCAATGGCCTTTAGTGCATTTCCGTCTAATGCAAAGTGAAAAATTCCTGAATAAAAATCATTAAAATTACCATTAAAAGGCCCTCACAATCTACATTAGACTGCAAAGATAAAAATAATTAAATTCATCAAATATTATGCATATTGCCCAACACCTTGTGACTGGAAGGTAGGAAAGTAAATGGTCAAGACAAAGCCACTTGATAAGAAAAAAAAATCAACAAAAGAAGTATAATCACAACCCAGAGGCTTGAGACAAAACTCAGCTGCCATTTTCAAAGAGGGACAGGTGTTTCAAGATTAGTTGAAGAGAAAACAATGGCTCAACATCCTTCCAACTGAAGTCAAGCAGTCCGATGGTTATGTTGTATATGGCAAAATGGAATATGTTGTATAAGGCAAAATGGAAATAAGACACCAAGCAATTCCAAAGTCATTGATCAACCTTCGCCTGAGAAAGACAACAATGAACCTACTTTTTCTTTTTTCCATGTCTTCTAAATAATCTGCAGGTTGCTTCATTCCAGTGCAAGCAATAAATGACTCCACTGATTCTTTGTAGCAATTATGGATAAGATACGACAGAACTATGTTTTGGATGTCATTATCATTTATAGCCTGTCAATCCATTAACCACAAAAATCAAAATAAGAAATCGGTGAGATGAATTATGACAAGGGAGTCAATATAGCCACAAAATCATGCTAGTAGACAGTATCCTGATAGAAGGCACAAAAGCAAGCTTGTAACCAAGAAGTATTAGAGAGTATTTTTACCGTATGGGATCCATTCAGCCTAATTAACAATAACATAAAGATTAAAATAAAGTGCAACCCCCAATACTAGAAAGGCAATAGTCAAAATTAGACCAATTCTGGGGTCATGAGAGTAGGGAAAAGACAACTGCGTCTCCAGTAACAACAAAGAATGAAGCCCAGTGAAGCCAACCAAGTAACCAACTAGAATTATCCGGGGAAAAAAAAATATATTCAGAGAATAACATACCACTCAACTACAGCATCTTCCAAACAAAACAATTCTGCAATACATGCAATGAACTTTGAAGCAGACTCTAATCAACATACAGATCCTAAAGTTGACCTTATGTTTAGGAAAGAATTACGGAATCCTGCCTTGTGGTTTGGCTCAATTTCGATTGCAGTATTTATGGCATTCTCATCTCAATATTTACGGTTCAATAGATGAGGTAAAAATTATAGCTATCTTCTATTTCCCATGTAATCTTCAATGTTTGAATCTAGGTAAGTTTAACCTTCATACAGAAAACAGACGTCTTACAGTCAACAGTAATAATAAAATAATGCCTTCAAAGTTAACAGCAGACAGCAACCATAAAAAGGAAATTGGCATTGATTTCATACATATAAAACCGGCAAAACACGTACTATTAAGCACATATAAACAGTCCACAATATCAAGGGGTTTCAAGATTCTAGCCGATGTAAAAGTAGCGTCGGAAATAGGCTTTGATGGTAACAAAAGAGAGAATACGGAACAAAGATTACTCGGTTGGATAAGACCTCAAAATGTAATACCAGAAAGACAGGAGTCATGAAGGGGCAATAAGGAAGCAGAAGCATACGAGGTTTTCGTATTGGCGGGGATCGACGTCCATGACAAATAGCGAGCAGTTTCCGGGCGTCGACGGGGGTGGGTTCAGGATACTCGAATGCGGGAGGGAAACAATGAATCCTTGCACTTTGTGTTCAAGTGAAGACGAAAAGCGAGTAAGCAGGAGGTGGTTGGGCTGAGATTAACCCGACTTGCGGAGTCGACCCGATCCGTCCGGCGGGGCCTGGTCTGCGGCTGAAACTGCCAGAAGAGAGCGATCCAATTCACACCGCCTCCGACTCTGACGTCGGGAAACACGTGCCTCGCCTTGTCTGACTTTCTCCTGGTGCGCGGAAAAGGCTTCTTGTAATTATTACGTCCTCTACGATATACTTTCTTTAACAGAAATAATTTGCATACACGCATATTAAAAAGCTAATATGTGATTGAAACCGGAAAAAAAAAAAGAAGAAGAAGCTAATATGTGAAGATGACACTGATAATTTAACAAGATGAAAATACTCAAATAGGAAGTTATTATTTGTCTAGTTTCAGGTGTAGACTTAGAAGTCAACGGAAGTTATATGTATATGTGCTTATACCTTCTAATCTGTTATTATCAATGTGGTTGTGGATATTGTTTTTGGTATAACATATTCGGTAACCAGATGGCTAATTCAGGTGATCGAATTCAATCCGATGTTGGGAGGGGGGTTTTAATGTGATTTTTTTGTATCAGTTTAAAATATCAAAATTCCTTAAAAATATTAAATTTTCTCCCATCAACTTAACCATCACTGCTACATTCAAAGAAGATAATTCAAGATATTACCTTCAAGTCTTCAACTCACCATGACACCGGGTCTATTAATAATTATTTTTTGATTTTTAGACCACTCTATCTTTGTGGCATGAGGAACGGGGATCCACGTACCAGGCTGACCTCCAGCCCAGATTCATGCTGTTTATACATGTGGGTTGGGATTTAAGAAATTTAAAGTATAATTATTATCTCAAAAAATATTGTCTAACTTAACTCGGTCTATAGGTAGGATTAATGAGGTGTTTAGATTGAAATCAAATCATAATTTTAGAAGTGATTTTACGATGTACAGAACAAATATGTGGAAGAATTTTTTTGATTTGTCAAAAAATACTTTTAAAATACACTTATGTTTAAATTTTTAAACACGAGTTTTTAGAATTAAGGTCCTTTTTAAAATTTTTGCTCTGGAAACATGATTCTAGCGGAATCGGGTTATGCTTGTCGGAATGAAAAATAGAGACGTTGAATCAAAAACAAAAAATAAAGACGCGACGTCTGAATATAATTCTCAAACTAAATTAAACTGAATTGTAGCGTGTAGGATCCGATTCGCAGAGTTATAAAATCAAACTGCTCTATATTAAAACGTATAAAAATGGATATGCAGATTGTTTGAAGGTTCGCGTGAGGCTAACTTAGCTACATTTTGGTATGATGTATTTGCCTTTTTATTCCCAATGGAGTACACTCATAAGGATTTCATTGCCCATCCAAAGGATCAAGGCAATACCCAAACAAACAAGTGAAACTAAACTGTTAAGCAAACACCTTTAAAGAACCTCTAGACATGGATACCCGAAGCCATACTCCTCCTAACACAACTCCCACCGCCTGTCAAATTTTGGAAGCTTCGATACGCTCAGATCAAGGGCGCAACAAGAAATTATGACCCCTCGTCAATAGTTTAGTTGAACTCCAAGTTTGGCAACCTCGCTAACAAAGCCACAAAATTTTAAGAAGGCCATCCAGGCAACCATAATTCAAGACAACTTACATTCATTAACAGCAACTTAAGGTAATGTTAGCACAAAAAATCCAAGGCTGTTCAACACCAGCTCAGGGAAATGGTCAGCTGAAGATATCAGTCACGGAAAACACAAGATATCAGTTGATGTTACGGGCCTGTCTAGGATCCACGAGTGACATAAGAAATAGCAATAGAATAGGAGAATGTGGATCCACAGGATATGTGATCTCAGAGGCTAGTTAAATAAAAAACACGATCTTAAGAGGTAAGACTCGTCATAAATGGCAATATGAAGAGAAAGGAAGTGCCGTAGCAGAGAAAGTGTATCACTATTGTGGAAGCTATAAATAGGGACACAGTTTTGTTCTCGCAATTTACTGTGTCTCAATTCAGTACTTGTACATTTTATTGAAGTCAAGCAGCTCCTCCCATTACAAACTATGTGTCCTTCTTATTTACACTCGTTCAAACGTCTATTTTAGGCTTAACTTTGTTTAAGACATAACAGCATGACAATTCCGAACATCAATATGGCTAGGACCACTGGACTAGTTAGCTGACAAACTTTTATTCAAATACACCACTAAGTCGAAATATTAACTAGGTGCATGTCCAATCTTATTCACAGGTCATCGGGGCAAAAAGTAATTAATAACAAGGTAATAAGGAAAGAGAATCTCAAATTAGGTGTCTGCTCATCTTGTAAAGAATGTGCAGAAATCTGTGCTTTCCCGAAGCAACAACAAACATACAGGCAATGTTTTCAGCAAGTAGAATTAGGAAAGGCAGGAACAAAAATGATGGTAATATCCTGGGCAATTGATAAATACATGCAACTGCACACAAGCCAAAAAGCCACTACTTAGCCACAACAACTTGAAATATATATTCTCGAGTCTATTCTTAACCACTTTTTTGTTTCGTTTTAAGGAAAGCTACCCCATCACGCCGTGCTTTCGGATCTCAAAAAGGAATCAGAAGTCAGAAACACAAAGGAAATGTGTTGCAGAGGTCATGCTACGAGTCTGATAAACAAGTTCAACTGGCATTTCAAATAATGCAACTATTCATCAAATACTCATGAGTCACTTCTTAGTTCTTATTTATCCTTAATTGAGTTTCGATACTAGAAATGGTTATCAATAAACGGCAAATATGCCAATTGAATACAGCAAAACCGCCCAAGACATCACTGCTGTTTTCAAGTCAGAAGGATCCGTGACCACAAAACCAAAATGAAGACCCACTTGGTAACGACAATACTTCTTTTTTCCCAAATCGTATCGTGTATACAGGCTGCATTATCACAAAATCAAATAATAGGCAACTACAGGCTACGATTAAGATCAAGCATGTTCAATTACACACCAAAATTTACAACTTTCCCAAACCCTGCCAGTGTAATTACAAAAGAGCCAGAGTACGGAAAATTACCTCCTCGTTGCTCCTCAGTATGCTTCATTGAGCGAATTTACTATTCACTTTCCTCCTCTGTTTTGAAATTTCAACCTCTACTAAGAAGAAGGAAAGACGTCCTTAACAGCTGAGGCAGCAGTCAAGTAATTAAGCGTGTTTCTTAAGGTTTCCTTCTCCCTCTTCAATCTTGTGGCAGTGTCCTCCAATTCAAGCAAAGCTTGCTGCTCTCTTGGCGCGCCCTCGAATGTGCTGCCTACAAAGAAAGAAAAAGGCGTGGGAAAGAGGTTCCTTCTCAAATCCCCCACTTCCTTCTCCGGTTTTCCCCCCAGTCGATTGGATAAACGTATGACATCTTTCATATAGGTCTCCACCTCAGTGGCCAAACCGTCAAGGTCCTCTTCGCCATTCGCAGACGGCCTATCCTCGAGCCAGGTCACTTGAGCGACCAGGTAGGGCTTGGTGCGGACAAGGTTGGTGACGCGGAACCGCTCTTGGCCTTTACAGATTAAGAAGAAACGGTCATCGACGAGGCGCTCGTGCTTAATGACTTCACCGACGCAGCCAACGTCGGCTGTGCCGGAAAGAGCGTCGGAGTAGATAACCCCGAAACGAAGATCGGTCTGAAGGAGAGTGTGCATCATTATGCGGTAACGGAACTCAAAGATCTGCAAAGGAAGGATAGCGCCGGGGAAGAGAACAAGGGGAAGAGGGAAAAGAGGGAGTTCCACCACGTCGTCTGATTTGGGGGAGTTGGTGTGGTGCTTCTCCGAGAAAGATGAGGAAGAACAGCGGAGGGAATCATGCCGCCGGCGGCGACGGAAGTGGGGGAGGCGGCAGCGAAGAAGAGGCCGTGAAGGGAAATGAAGATTAGGATTGGAAGAGTAGGCAAGTTTATTGGGGTTCAAGGACGAGGAAGATGAAGCAGAGGGGATGAGTTGGGGGAATGCCATTTGCGTCATTCCAAGTAGAGAGGGAAGGCGTTTATGGGGTTTGTTTCTTTATGGTGGGGTGAAGAGAGAAAGGATTATGTGGAAGACGTGAGCTTGTTATTGCGGGGATTCCTCTCAGCTGTGTATGGAGACTGTGATTTTCCACTCATATCTGTCTGAATCCAATTTCTGCTTTTCGATCATCCTTACAGATTTTTAAAAATCTCGTGGCTTGACGCCTTAGCCCATTCTCTGTGGACGATAAGGTGAGAAGAAGTGAGACGAGTGTGCCTACATGCGGTCATGGGCTTTCCACGTGCCGTCAAGCTCTAAATCACTTCCTAATCCTTTCTTTTATTTTCCGAAGGAAATCTTGAAATTTCTTTTTAAAAAATTCTACCATGAAAAAAATAATGAGATGGCAAGGGCGACAATGACTCCTTCAATCATTGTCATGGACCAAAAACAAAAATCTCGAGCCGTCGAAAGAGAAGGGAGAGCCAATGGGGGGCTATTTTTGGGGCCACCTAAGATGAATGGGGTGCTCTTTTACCTTGCTTTTGAAAGTAACTTGGAATAGGAATTAGGAAAGACAGCCAGACATTTTATGCTTGTTTTACAAAAGTTGAGCTAGTAATGGATGGACTCAACGGTTTGAAGAAGGAAGCATTGGTCTCCCGCTCCTAGTCTTGTCGGGAACTGGGATGCCATATGCGTAATGGAACTTAAAGCATACAAGGAATAAGTACGTAATCCCGAAATTCCTAGAGCATCCTTGGTTTTCCATTTTAAGTGATGTTCCCCGCAGGAATTCGAGCATCAATCCTCTCTTTTGAAGCAGACTGCGGACCCTGTCGATCATTATCATACTTCCATTCCTGTTTCTGAGTCAATATACAAACTGCATATATTCTTGTTTCCATTAAAGCGTCCGAACTAATCAAAGTCAAATCGCCAAACAACCAATCGCTCAGTTTTTCAGAGTCTGAATCCTAATGAATTTGCATGAATGAACTCTTCTTAACAATGTTAATTGAAAGTAAAGTATAACATTCTCCCAGAGATGGCAACTCTATCAAATGCTCTTCATTCTTCTAAGAATAAAACTCAAAGCGGTCTTGTAGATTTAGCCATCTCATACAACATCGCAGATTCAGCTATTTAGGGGCCATTTCATATTTTGCATTGAGTCTGCTAGCTAACAACTGCCAAGTCAAACAGGCTTAAATTCACTGCATGCTAAAAACCACTCCTTTACAACGAATCAATCACAATGAACCAAGAATTTTCACAGGGAGGCAATGTACTTCTGCTTGCTCATGCTCCCCCCCCCCCCTCAATTCTTTGATTTGGGTTCAGCAACTGCAGGTGTATTCAAGGTTCGCTTTACAAGAGATATTTTCCAAGGATTCCCACCTAATTCTTCAAAAATAACTATCAAGTTGTTGGTTGGCTTTAACCAGGATCTGGGAACGTGATACCTGCAAAATTGCATTCATCCACAAAATCAAATGGGAAATATCTACTCATCTGCTAACAAGCATAGAAGGAGATTATTAGATCCATAACAGAGGAGATAAGAGAGTAATGCCCAAAATTGAAACTTAGAGAACAGATCAGTAAGAGTACCATCGTTGGGTGGGTTTTCCACAACCAAGTTGGCAATTATCAGGCCGGAAAGTGCCAGAATAGGAGCAAGAGTTGCAGTCACCTTTTGCATAAGCCAACCAATACCTTCCTATGCTCTCACCGTTGATCCACACTTGACCCTTTCCCATGCTGCCCATGTCCAAGGCCAATGCTTCATCTCCTTCCGGTGCGTCAAAATAGGCCTGCAATGTTTCAACTTTACTGTTAATCACCTTTTGCAATGTTTCTTGTTGCAGCCCAATAATTTTCCTTACCTTGTGCCATTTAAGTTGCTGCTGGCTTTGGGCAGCTAGTGACTCTTGTACCCAGTCAACAGATGAAACCCCATTAGGAGATACCAAATTCATAGCCTCTCCTTTAAGCCCAATCTGTTCAACAATATGCCATGATTATTAAAATGAAATACTTTAATTGAAGCCTGCATAATCAATATAATGTTTCTTTACGCATGGGACCTGGTAAGACCATTGTTGCCAAGTTAAATCTTTGGTTCCCTTGTCAAGACCCTGAATCAAAACTGGGCCATTGATCCCTGTCTTCCATGTTTCAAAATGAAGACCGACATTCTTCCAACAGAGACAGAAAAAGGGAAGAAGTCAGTGGCTAACAATGCTATGTGTAAACTCCACCCTGATTCTCACAAAAGCAAGACATTGGCTTTGTACTGATTACTAACCGGTAATCCAACAGCTACGCTGAGAAGAGCGATTTTATTAGTTCCAGGGCGTAGATTGACCGGACCATTAAATTTGCAACTAGTTTGTTCCCTTGTCCCAAAAGCAGACCCTGCAAAAGACGTTGCCTAAGATATTTCTTGACTTTGATATATTGATTTAATGTGCGAAGATCACAACTACCGGGTTAAACTTAAACTACTTACCTGAAAATTGCCCATTAACGAACACATGGACGGCATGGCCTGACGACTGAACGATGATACTGGGTTTCTGTCCTCCTCGAAGAAATGATTCGGAAGAGCTAATGTCCACACTGTGACATGTAAACCGGAAAACAACTAAGTTTATGACGTATTAGTATTGTGATGCCCGTATTAGTCCTGTGCCTCGTGTTGTGCGTCCATGCCTCCTAGCTTTCCTATTCTCAACAAAATGACTAACACTTAGGCAGTAAGATTTATGCAGATTATGGAGTTCCTCACCTAGTAATGTACCATAGATAGTCGCTAGTATCTCTGGTAACGTTTATTTGTTCCAAGAGTCCGGCCGCTGTAATCCCTGAAATTTCAGCCGGAGAAGAAAGATCTTCATCATAGGTCTCCCATGAGAACAACTTTGAATTCGTAGGCACCATTTGCGCTTGTGATGTTTGAACTCTAACCTTTATGAAAAAACATGGCAGTGTACTCAGCAACTTGACATAATAGAGTGTGCTGATAAGACTTGTTTCGTGCGGAATCAAGATGGCACAAGACCCTTGAAATGTACTTACATTTGCCGTGTTAAATACTTCTTTTCTGCAATCAGGGAGAATGCTTATAGACCAACGAGGCAAATCATAGTGATTGTTATTAAATGTCACTCTAGCTGAAGACTTGGAATGATAGTTTGCCAGAAAAGCTGCACATGCTCCCGTCCCTGAAGAGAATACATGAGCCTGGAATTTCCAGGAGATCCGTGTCATTCACAAGTAAGGTTGGTTTGCCTATGATTTTTGTAACTAGAAAAAGGTAATGTAATGCTTCACATCACAGACAATAGACCTGCTGATACGTTCCTAGTGAAGTAGTAGTAGGATCCGAAGACACCAAGGCAGGTTCACATTGCTTGATGGCTTGGTGAAGCTCCTTTAAATGACTATATTTAGGTTCCCTGATCAAGCCTATCATGCAAAAATTACTCAACTCTTACTAGTCAAATATAAGAGTACATAGTTTTAAGGGTGTAGTTAGATGCCTAAAAGAAAACTGCCAGAGAAACAAAAACAATCATAAACTCTTCCCGTAATTTTTTTAAAATATTCAAGAAAAATCTTCTCACCATATTCATCAATTGGAGCATCATAATCATAACTTGTAGAGATGAACGGGCCTCCAGCAGAGCGTCCAAAATTAGTTCCTCCATGATACTGTATTTCGTCATTAATCACATAGGTGAAACTCAATTATTTTGTTTTGAAGTTTGCAACAGTAGAGTACAGATACATCATGAGTACCCGTTGATTTTTCATTATGACCAGGGCACATTACGTTTTGATAAATAGCAGTTCATGAGAGGGGACCAACCATGTAGTAATTGACAAGTGAGCCACCCTTTTGTATGAATCGAGCAACTGCAAATGCTAGATCTTCAACTGGTCGTTGATGACTTGGCCCACCAAATTCTGTGAACCTAATGAACATGGGGAAAGCAGGAAGGATAAAAGAAAAATCAAATCTGAGGATTGAAAGAACCGAACTTACAGTTATTCGAGTAGCTTCAAATGTGATATTAAACTTACCAGCCACTCCAAGTCTCGGTCCACAGGGTGGGCTTGTACGGTTTATTAGGAGAGAAATAATCACAGTAAAAACCGTTGCACGTATTTATCTGTCATGAAGAATTAAATGGATCAAATTAAGCAGCCGGTGAAAATAGAATAAAGATGAACTAAAAGAAATTCTATATGTAAAGGTGGGTGAGGCAAATGAGAGGGCTTACCACGGGATCTGGGGCGTCATCTTCCTTGCACATCACCCATGGAACACCCGTATCCAATTTAACTGCCATATTTGCAGCCCAATTTACGTATGCACGACCAGAAGCTCCCAGCTCCCTGCTTTCTGGTCCATACTCGTTCTCAATCTATCAAGCAATAGAGATAAAAAATTATATATATATATATATATAGGAAACTAGGTTACTTATATATGAAGTACAAGATTTCAGTCAGGAAGCGGTATTTGGCAGACAATAGTTGAATAAAGACTTGAGTTACGTAGTTTATTGTAGGAGCCACATATACCTGAGAAAGAATGATTGGGCCCCCCTGAGATTGATATAGCTTTTCATTTTTCATCATCTGGACAATTTTCTGGGTGAAGCCACGCATTGCCGCCTAAGAGATTAAGACAAAGTAAGACAATCGAAGGGTCAGGTAAGTGGGAGAGGAGGGAGAAACAGGATGTGAATGGAATTAGATTTCAACCTTGAAAGGCCCATTGTCTGTTCTGAAGCTGATGCCTGGAACATACTTCAACCATACAGGAAATCCTCTACACATACAAACAATGCGAATCACTAACAATATTCATACCACAGAACTAAACAAGAAATTGAAAGGTTGAAAGTGTGTGTACCCATAGTTCCACTCGGCGCACACATAAGGCCCGATGCGAAGATGAACATAAAGCCCCACCTTCTGCACTGTCTTAATGAACTGCACCAAATCGTATCTCCCTTCAAAGTTGTACTGCAAACCCACAGCAGAAAAATAAGAAAAAACTCAAAAGTGCATGGTAAAAGAAAATGTTTGGTTTGATTTAATTCGAGAAATGAACTGCAAAGAGAAGAAAATGAATTGAATCAGCGTGCAGAGGAGAACCTTGCCAGGAGATGGTTCGTGGACATTCCAGAAGACATAAGTGTCAATGACATCTAGGCCTCCATCTTTAGCCTTCTGAATAAGATTCTCCCACATCTACGGTACCGCGCATTTCAGACATAAAAAGCTCATTGACGCCATTATCAACAAATGAGAGATACAAATTCGACGAGAGCAAGTAAAAAGAAGGCATACTTGTGGAGTGCTTCTGGGATAGTGAATGGAACCAGAGATGAGAATTTTCCTTTGACCATTGATGATGATGGCCTTTCTATCATAAGTTACGCTGCAATGGGTCAGTTCAGAACACAAAAACAAGGTCGTGAAGAACAATATGAGCAGCTTTGGAGTCAAGATGCTTTGAATGCTCTCCATATCTCTGAGCTAATTGGAGGGAACTTTGAAAAGATAACTCAGGGAGGCGCAATGTGGTGTTCTTTCTGCCTCTGCTTTAATATTCAGCAAACACAACCACTGTGTTTGTTATGTGTGTTATTATTCTTTGGCTAACCACTCTGCTCTCACCACATATATTTAGTTTTTTTTAGGGTAATAATGTATTTGGGTTTGGTAACAATTATTAGAAAATAGCGGCATTGTCAGACGAGGGAGGGGCATTCTGCGGGCAACGAACACTTTCGTGAGGTTAAGAAGTACAAAGTAAATATTGCTCGTCCCATGAAACTCTGTTGCGGGCTTGAATTTATTTTGAGAATATCTAAAGCAGCAGCTGCAGAAGTCCGGTCCCCCATTTCTTATAAGCCAAAAGAAGCAAAATATCCTGTCGGGTGACAAAATTTGATGACCGCGGCATCAATATCTGAAGGAAGTTATTAACATTAACAGTATGCTTCCTTTGGCCAAAAAAAAAACAGTATGCTTTCATATGGAGGAATGGATAATTTGAAATGCCAGGCACTTGTTGTGTAATGTCAGTCGGAATGGGGTGGTTGAACATGGATAGTTAAAGCACCTGAATGAAATGATACAAAAGATCATAAAGAAACTTTAGTTTTTTTTTTTAAATAATGGGGGTAGGGACTAATTTTCATAAATGTTGAGCAATGATACCACTTGGACCCGCTTTGCAACTTACTTTGTTGTGATGTGCCACTCTTGCTTCAACATCACAATGCCATCATTAAAGCTTAAACTTATTGTTACCAGCTATGGCAAAACAAGTTTTTCCACACGGCATCATATATTTGTAATCGCCTTCTTACCCTTCTAAGCTTTCTGCATATGTATAACTAGATTTGACGTGTTAGTACATGTACATATGTTTTGGGAAAAAGAAAATGCTCGTATTTGAAACAGAAGCCTTGTTGTGGGGAAGGCCCCACGCACAAATAATAGAACTACGTGAGGGGGACTCCAGCACAAAGCCAGCCTCTCCATTCCATTTGTCTTTTGTGACCTGTGCTGTGAGGGAATCCGACCTAATGTTTGGCTGTTTCTCTTCTCTTTTGTTTTTACTTCCTGTCGCCATATGCTCCTACTCCTGGCCTTTCTTTCTATTTTCTCCTCGTAAAATAAATAAATGAAAAGAAGGAAGTTTTTGCTTAATGTCAAATTATTTCAGCATTTTTTTAAGAAAAAATCACAAAAAAGGACAGCTGTAATTAAAAATTGCACACAAAGACCCTTTTATAAAAATTATTGTCAGAACACGTACTAATTATAACGGGTTTTTATTTATAATTTTTTTATTTTGACGGTTTTTTTTTTTACGATTTTCTCTTTTTTTAATATCTTTTTATTTTTTCTAAGATCATCAATCCGTACGTAAAACTCATAAACAAATATATTGTTCATAAATTATGAATATTTTATCTTGAGCTTTCATTTGATGCAACACACGCACAATTCACGAAGAGTAATCATGTTATGTACTGTCTCCTCTATTTCTTAATATAAGAGTTGATTTAACTTTTATTTTGATTTTAAGTATAAGATTTTAATTTATTTTGTTTTTCATATTTATCTATTTTTTTAAAGATAATCTTTGTAATAATAATAGTTCTAACCAGTAAATTTGATTAGCAAAGATATTTTAGAAAATACAATACTTATTTATTATAAATAACTTACTTAACCAATTTATTTAATCTACTCAAATTGTTAACTAGTTGTTATATTAAAAATCAGAGATATTATTAATGATGAATTATAAATATTATAAGGATGACTTGTTTAAAACACTTGATGATGTGCAGGGTTCATACTATTATTCAATCACACGGGACGGGCATGGAGGCAGAGGGACGGTGGGTTAGAGTTGATGGTTTATCTTATTAATGCACTGTTACGTTGAATATCTGCGCTCTTACTTCACCTTCAACTCCACGGGGGGAACAAACAGAAGAAAGCAAGGGTACATGGACGCTCAAATATAATCTTTCAAGTCTGGGAACTGGCATGTTATAGTTTGTGCGAGTATGTTGATTTAGTACAATGTGGTTAGTTTTTTAATTAATACGTATTTCAAAAAATGATCGGCTCATCGATGCTCGGTCCTCGTTACTCGAGAGTTCAAACCTGATGAGGGAGACTCCGTAACGTCGCCGTTTGTCGGCGAGGGGTACCCACGGGCTACTGCTTGGACAGAATGGAGCATGTCCGTTTATGTCGGCAGGCACTGCGCTGTGAGATTAGATTATATGAGGGAGGCCCCATCTCAGTCGCTGCTGCCGCGCATTACATGCAATGCAAATGTGTTTGTCTGAGAAAGTCAGATTTATTATCATCTTTTGTCTAAATTATCCTCTTGACTGTGATTTCAAAAGATTCTTATCAAAAGATAATTTCAATGCATGTCGTTAGAGAAATTAGTTTGAGACCTAAGTTTGTTATAATTAACGAATTTAACTAATTTTCTTAAAATAGTAATTGCAGGTGTTAAGTATTTCTTCAAATAGTTATTCTAATCAATACACTTGATTAGCAAGGATATCTTAAGAAAGATAATACATAATTATTATAAATAATTAGTTTAATTAATTTTTTTAATTTATTTAGATTAATTAATTATTTCTTAGTATTAGTATTAAGGATGGGAGGCACTAATCGTTTAGACTTTAGCGACTTCATGTTTAGACTCGTCTCGGGTGTCCCTCTCTCCGTTGAACAGCGGGGATGCCTCATAGGGTTGAAAAGGGCTGGGGGCGGCGGGCATAAAACGATTATCATCCAGCTACACTCTCTGGAAGCGATACAAGGATAGATAGAAGCGAGGTACGGGATATGCACGATGACCATGCTTTAATCAGAGAAATTCTCCAGATGCTAGAAGCGTCCCTGGCCAGTAGAAGTTAAAACCGGTAATATAAGTTGAGCCCGCAGATTCAACCCGCCAACCCGCCAACAAGTGACGGGTTGGGTTGATAAAAATTGGTACCATTTTAAAATGAAAGTTTTGAATCCATAACCGTCAAGCCCAAACCTGCGACGGGGCTAACCCACAGGGTTAGCGGGCCAACCCGTTTAACCTTTTTTTTTTTTTTTTTTTTGCAAATTTTTCCCTTTGCCTCTCAGTATCTACACTCTCGGCCCAGTCCACAGTCCAACAGTAAGCAGTCAATGTCAAACAGTCTAACACGGCAACACCAACACGATCCCATTTTCACATTTTGCTTGCGTATCGCACTCCTCCCAAACTCCCAACTCTCCCAGACCTAGTCTCCCAGTCACCCTCGACCAGTCCTAACTCCCAAGTCCCAACTCCCAAGCCCCAAGCTCTCCGCTCTCTATCTCTGCTTTGCGTCTTTGCCCTGGCTCATGAGTGATGATTGAACACTTGATAGCTGATACTTGATAGTGATTTGTGTAGTGACATTGTGTTTGTAACTTTGTAGTAGTGTTAATTTGGATTTATGTTTTAATTTGAGGTGTTTGTTAAATTATTAAAGACATATCATGTTCATTTAATCATATGTTTAATATTTTGATATATTTGAAACTTGAAACTTAAAACTTTAGATGGATTCCATGTTTTATTTATGATAATTTCTATTTGCATGTTTTATTTTACGTATTTAGGAATTTGAGTAGGTTTTATTAAAAAAAAGTAAAAAAAAATACAAAATTTGGTGGGTTGGTGGGCCTAACCCGCCGACCCACCTTGGCGGGCTGGGTTGAAAAAATTCCAGCCCGTCAGAAAACGGTTCTAAAAAACCTAACCCGTCAAGCTTTAGGCCAGCCACGGGTCAACCCATAATTAGCGGGTTGGCCCATATTACCGGCTCTACCCCAAATCATATTTGATAACATTACTTTATCTGGTATTGATAAGTCTAAATTTACAAATGATAACAAATTTTTATTAACATTTCTTGTTTGGTATTTACAAAATTTTAACTTTTTTTTTTTTGTTACTGTCCCGAATAAACAAGAGTCCCATGCGAGAAATAACACATTTTTCACGGGCTGGTTCTATAAAGCGAGAAACAGGGAGTATGAGTGCGTACTGCGTGATAAGATAATATATACACAAAATAAAGACCAATCAAACGAATGAACAATAGCTTAAGCCTTTGGTTTACTCCAGTATATAGGCTCCTCCTTGACAAATTGGCTCGTTTCCCTCACTTCTTCGTTCTTCCGTGCAAAATGCGGTTAAAATCGCTTGATAATTTTCATGTTATCAATAATTAATGAATATTATAATAGTATTCTGCTGAAAGAAATTATTATAATACTACGAAATTATTTTTATTAAAACATTTAACGTGAAAATCAAAGTCTGATGGTAGTATATTTCTTCACAGTTTGAAGGAAAAAAAGCTATAATTATGAAGGATTATAAAATAAATTTTATATTTAAAACATAGGAGAGTAACGCATGAGGGGCGTACGGGTAGCAATTGAGAGGATGCCGCCGGGCCAGCACCCATTCTTCAGTTGGGCCGATGACGTGTTTTGACGTGGGCAAGTTCTTTAAACAATAAAATAATTACTTCAACAACTTCTAGCTACAAATAAATATATCTGAAGGAAGCCAAAGCGTCAGGGGATGTAGCTCAGATGGTAGAGCGCTCGCTTAGCATGCGAGAGGTACGGGGATCGATACCCCGCATCTCCATCTTGATCCTTCGAAGAAACTTTTGTGTGGGGCCCATAATTCCTGACCTTCTGGCTGGCTTCATATTTATAGCCTAGTTTTGTCTTTGAAGGCCCAAAAGTTCTGGGTTTTAACTTTTCCATTTCGGACCAGCCAGGGGTTATGAGTTGGACCAAAATGAAAACTGAGAGGGAGAGATATCGGCCTAACTTTTGGATCAAGAGAATTACTTTATTCTCACAAAATCCACAAATGGCTCTTATTTCCCGAGACCCTTCTATTCTATGTAAATGTAATTTCATACTCAGCTATCACCTTTACTTTAATTTTTTGAAAAATCTTAATCCCTTGGGAACTAGTCACCAAAGCTTAATTGATTTGTTACATTATCGATGATTGATAATTGGTTTTGCATAAATTTAAATTCAAATCACATAAAACACCCTAACTTTTAAGTTCAGCGTACATGAATTCTTTAATTTTTATAATTTGATAACGAATCGTCCTTAATCTTTACATTTATATGGATAACATTCTCATTAATTTGCCTGCCATTTCACTAACATAGTGAGATGCATGCACTCGCTAGTCATTACCACATTCCCTCTAATTGTTTTTTTTTTTTTTTGCATGTGTAAATTATTAAATAATAGTTGCCAAAAAAATAATAGATAAATTAATGGCAATGAAATTAATTGCAAATTTTTTTAAAAAAGAAAAAGCAAAAGATTTTTTCCCCAAGATTTAAAAGTCGCAGATCTTCCTGATTGTGCAGTTATAAATACTAAGGCGTGCATTAAATAGTCCTCCAAATCTACGTCTTCAAATATTTATACACAGTTTCTTCTTTATCCCCCCCCCCACACCAAAAATAGATCAAAGACACCTTTGAGTTAACTGTTGCTTTAAGATTAATGAGTTGAACTTCATCAGTTGATTTCATATAACGATTTTAAGAGTGAAGTGGACCTGTCATCCGGTAGAATTTCACTAAGTAAATGCTAAATCTAAAATTTGAGCATCTATATATAGTTTAGAAAACAAACCCTCTTTAGTTACGACTTACGAGCTACACTACTGACCCCTTTCTGTGGGCAACTAGCTAGAATAATCCCTTGTGGTTCTCCTTTTTCATAACTAATTCGGCAAAGCAGATTTGATCCTTATATTGCATCTTCCCGAAGAATGTGATTCCTTCACCGGTTCGTCTTTTATCATAATTAAACTACTGGACAACGAGATGAGAGAGATGTTACCTGTGTGGTTAAAAAAATCTGAAAAAACGGCAACAATTAATTAACGACAAGAAGGCACGCTTGAAACTGAGCTGTAAATTTCATAAAAAGCATAAAAAGGATGATCTCGTATACTCTCTATATATTCGGGTGTCACCATGAGTATTTTGCGTAGCCTAGGTGGCCAGATCTCGAATCACTTTCTACCGTAACCTGTCGCGTAGAGAGAAAAAGACGAGGTACGTGATATAGGCAAACCTTAATAAACAATTGAAAAATTCAGAAGTGGAAGAATCTAATCTCAGTACTTACGATGAAAGAGACATATAAATATGATTCATTCTGCCTCTTGTCCTCTGGAACATCAACGTCTGCACTTGCCGCTTCAAAGTGACGTTGTACCCTCCATCCTGCTTTGCACTACGAAAGGGAAAAATGCAAAAGGGAGGGTCCTTGTAAAATGCAAAGATCGAATAGGTTCTAACTAAAAAGAAAGACAGTGAAAGGAGCACGATGGTGATGGAATGGAAAAGATTCGCGAGTCCATTAAGGCAATCAGCAGTACAAGTACCACCTTTAAGGCCAACACAAATATTGTAACACTCATTAGTCAGAGAGAGAACAACAAAAGTACCCATTCAAATCTTGTTCTCGTGCAACTGACCCAATGCCCCTCCTATATAAACAAATCCTTTAGAGTACGCAGACAGATTCTCTCTCCCGCTTTTGAGCAAACGTACTCCACTGGTTAAAGAGATTCGAAATAAATAAAACAAGCTTCTGATCTTAAAAAAGCCCATCGATTCGAATTCTGCTGGCTGCTTAGGGAGCCTGACGAAGAACGAACGAGGCCCTTTAATCGCTCTTGCGCAGAAAGTATGTCTTCCAACAAGCACATAGAACCTTGCACCGTTTATATAATCATCATCATGCTCGTATTATATACAGATGCTCTTCTTTCTTCCGTCTAGCTTTAATTAATGTGTATGCACTTTATATCCTAATTATCAAGTTTGCTAATAACACGTACATCTTCGATAGATTTTTGTTTGGGATACACAGAGAGAGTTGTGCGTGCGCGCGCGGGTCGGGTGTTTCTAGCTAGTTCTCTTGATATATAAACATGAGGGAATATTAATATAACTCACGTTAGAAAGTGTTATCCAATCCATTTTCTCAATCAAGAGGAGTGCAATTCTCCAATATAAATATTAAAAAGTATCGATGGATGTACGGGGAAAACATAGCTTGATTGCCGTCTGGCAACGGTTCAAAATTTACCAAGCCTCACTGTCAATAAATCATTAGATTATACTACCTGTCTTGCCAGCCCGACTAATTTATGCAATTACCGGTGCCTTATAATTACTATAATTAACAGCAAACTAAGGAAATGTTAGTGAAGTATTTATCGAGCTATTCTAAAAATGACACAGAAACTCGAGTCATATTTGAGGTATCAAGGTGATTTCTGATTTCAGATGTCAGGCAATTTTTTTTTAAAAGTAAATCAACACACAACTAATTTCAATCAATCTTTTTTATGCGATTAGTTCAATACAACAAAAAATCTTATAAAAAGAAACAGACGGAATATAATATTGGTATGCTATTGAAACACAAGCTGTCAGCTGGCACAATATTTAAACCGCTATCATCAGCATGTAATGAGCTGTTATACTGTATTATTATATTATACACGTAACATGAATAGAATATATGTCCTCAAAGAAACATGACAAAGAAGAAAGACGTGGGATGGGGTTATTAATTCAGAGGATCCATGCAAAATAGTAAAGCGGTGTAGAAGGGCAGACCACTTGGGGAAAAGAAGAAGATGCGATTAATCTCTCTCATTGCAAAAAGATCAGAAAATCCTGTACATGAGATTCTTGATAGATTTTTACCCCTCTTTATCTCTGACCAAAAGATAAGATTAAAAAAGGGCAAGTCGCCTTTGCGGCAAATTAAGAAAGGTAGGCACGACTCGAGGAGCATCTGCAGTGAATAAAGTTGGTAATCAGATAGATGTAGGAGTAGGGCGACCTAATTAATGAAATGATCTTCTTCGTCATTAAGAATGATACGATGCTCATTCAGATCACACCCTTTTTCTGGTGTGGCTTTCTGAGATCCTGTCTAGTTACCACACATATATACATAACATGTATTGGTGCTGGTGAGAGACATGGGCTCATGAATCCGTACGTTGTCAGGGAAAGGGGAAAGGGCAAAGTCCGAAGGGGTACGGTCCAATTATGATTAAAGAGTTCTTGAATGAGTTTGTGATATCCTACTATAGATCGTTTATTGAGGAATGACGAGTTAGTGTGGGGATAGAAGTGCAAAACTAAACTTGATTGATTTAGTTGTTGAAGCACCGCGTACTGAAGTAATGTGTGGGAGCAGGAGGACCACAGCTTGCATTGTGTGCTGTGATTTAGATAATAATTAGGGAAGCTTTTAACATGTACTTGATTATGGGGATCTCGGGCTTTAATTTTCCAATTGGCAGTGCTTTGCTTGGAATGGGAACATGTAATTAAGTTGACTGGACCCTGTCATTAGGTGGGTGTAAAAATAAGTGTTCAGGCTAAACGAAAGATCACCAGGACAAAGAATCAAGAAGCGATGTGAATTTTAAAATTAAAAAATGAAAGACGAGGAAAAATTAACCTTTCTTTTGGATCAAACCAGCCACGTATGTGTATGTATCTACGTATGCATCTGCTCCTAATTATACAAATGAGTGCGACATTTTAATTTAAATATAAAAGAGGTTTTTAATTAAAAATACATGAAACTATAGACAATCCAAATTGTAGACGAGTTTTTTTAAAAAAAAAAAAATAGAAAAGTCGAGCTCCGAGAGGGGGGAAAAAGTTAGAATTGTTTTAGTATGCATGGGTGCAGTGCCTGCGCCCACCACGTGAAGCTCCCCTCGCAGGGGTCCCCACACAGATCCTCTGTATCTACACGTGGCCCCCGCGCCCTGACCTCTTCTCATCAATCATCCTCCGGGGAGCAAATGCGAATCACCACCCTCCAATGCCTCACGGCTCTCCTCTATGCCGGCCATTCCCATTCCTGATCTTCTCTGCCCCTCCAAAAGTCAATTAAAATAATCAATGGCTCACCCCTGAGATTATTTTCAAAAGTTGAGTAAACATTTTTCCTTAATTCCCATTTCCCTCACTCAAAAATAAAAATCAGAAGCAGGTGTGCTTGTGTCTCCTCTCACGTGCCCATGAGACCCTTCGTTCACCTCCGTGTCCTATAAATAGCGGACCTGCATCATATATCCAAAACACATCAGAGACACACAGTGTAATGACTCAGGCCCTCACTGATCCTCCTCATCAGTCTCACTCCCTTCTTTGTCCCATATTCAAAAGAAAAGTGGCGAGCGCCGAGCTGCAAAGCAGACAGAAATTTAAAGTGCCATAGATTCCTTGCTCCTATATTGAAGCGGGGAACCAGCTCTTCATGAAACCCTATCATCAAAAGGCAAGGGCAAGAGCTGCAGAGGAGGGAATCTTTGTGCATGTTTGCGTATAAAATCTTTAAAGCGCAATCCAGGCCTACGTTACTCCGCCACGTCCCACAGCGCTGCTCCAAGATTTTGTTCTCTGCGCAATTCCCATCCCTCGATCGCATCCCCCCATCACCCTTTCTTGTTCCCCACCTCCAGCACCACCATATATATACCTGCCCCAACTAACAGGAAAAACCAACTCCCGGAAATGGCGGCAACCAAGTTTGTGCTGGCATTCGCTATATGCCGGTTAATCGTGACCGTAGGATTCACGGTGGTGCCCGTGGAACTCCTCCGTCTCGGAATCGAAGGCCGGCTGAGCGTGGAGACGTCCGACGTGGAAAAGGCGTCTGCAGATTTCGGAATGCTGACGAGAGCGGTGCCCCTGGCAGTCATGGAGCCGGGGTCGGCGGAGGACGTGGCGCGGCTCGTGGAGGCGGCTTACGAGTCGGCGCAGGGGTTCACGGTGTCGGCTCGTGGACACGGGCACTCGATAAACGGGCAGGCTCAGGCGAGAAAGGGGGTGGTGGTAGAGATGAGCAGTAGGAAGAGAATGATGAGAGTGTGGGAGAAGGGAAGGTACGTGGACGTGTGGGGAGGGGAATTGTGGATAGATGTGTTGAAGGCTACTCTGGAGTATGGGTTGGCACCAAAGTCGTGGACTGATTATCTGTATTTGTCTGTGGGCGGAACCCTATCCAACGCCGGCATTAGTGGCCAGACCTTCAATCATGGCCCTCAGATTAGCAATGTCTATGAGCTCGACGTCGTTACCGGTTAGCTTTTCCCACTTACCTCCTCAACCTTCCATCTGACTGCGATGCACAGCAATTCTTTAAACCTAGCTTGCTTTGTGCTTGACTACTCAGACTTCACCCAAATCAACAACATCCTCTCGTTGCTAATTAAATAAAGTATAGCTAATCTTTTTTCATGCCATTTTGGATAATTAACGTACTCGTTTGTTATTGCTCCGCGTTCATGCATGTTGTCGTTCATGTCTGTTCATATATAGAAATAGAACCAGTATTTAACACTATTGCACGTTACTATTTTGTTTGTTCTGTAATTGGTTACGCTTAATTTCCAATTAAATTATCGTGACTATCCCGAGCATGGTTAATTAATCCGATTATTTCAGGTTCGCTGATGACGGATTCACTTTAATTTCCCCTCTCTCAATGGAACAGGTAAAGGTGAGCTGTTGACTTGTTCAGAAGAGCGCAATACGGAGTTGTTTCATGCCGTTCTCGGAGGTCTTGGACAATTTGGCATCATCACAAGAGCTAGAATTGCTCTTGAGCCAGCTCCGCACAGGGTACTCAATTAATGATAAATATCTCTTTTGCTTCCTATCGCTTAAATCAAAATTATAACCTGAATAATTTTTATTTGTAACCCAATTTACCTGTCTCTTCTCTGATTCTTCTCTATATATAGATCATTAGCACATCAAGCAAAAAGGTTTTTTTTTTTTTTAATAATACGTTTAAAATGAGAACGCTACCTCTTCTCTCTTTATATATATAGAAAGATAATGATTTGCAAAATGATCAGCTCTACGGAAAAACAATCACATGTTCTCCGTATTTATCTTTCGAGGAACTTGTTGAAGGTGGGTTTTCATCTGTTCCTGGGCAGGACACATGACACGTGGTTCGTGGCAAATTTTTCTTTGCCTCGGAGACAAAACGTTTAAAAAAAAAAAATCATTTTCAAGGGTTGAGGAGTGGTCTATTTGAGTAGCTCCGTATCTACTATACATAGCTGGCAAATTCTGTTGATGTGTCGTTCTCTTAATTCTTTCAACATATACGTTAAATGGGATATCTTAGAGTTACAGTTATTTAGTTATAATTACATTACTGCTTCGAACGTACGCACAGGTTCGTTGGATACGAGTCCTGTACTCCAATTTCTCAGCCTTCACCAAAGACCAAGAGTTTCTAATCTCGCTGCATGAGAAGCCATCAAAGGAGAGATTCGACTACGTGGAAGGATTTGTGATCGTAGATGAAGGACTGATCAATAACTGGAGGTCCTCTTTCTTTTCACCAAGTAACCCGGTGAAAATAGAATCCCTCAAATCGGACGAGGGTGTCTTGTACTGCTTGGAGATTACCAAAAATTACCAGCATGAGGATGCTGATATTATTGATCAGGTACGCTCATTTAATGCACCTTGACTTTTTTACTATGTATTGCTCGCATTGTGAGGGGGGGGGGGGATCACTTCAAGCGCCCCCTATAAATCGACACGTAATATGGCCATTTGGCATAAGGAACGTAGGTGCCTTTTTATTTTGCTCTGCTGGACTCTATTAATTTACCAATTTGCTGACTACTATATGTAAGCCACCTGTATCTATGCTTGTCTTCTAAATTATGACACCTGCAAGCTGTTCTTGGACAACTGGCTCCAATCAATTCAATCTCACAAAACATTAACTAGTGGGGCATCTTTGTCCAGTTTTGTTACTTTGAAGTTAACTTGAACATTATTTATAAATATTTGCTGCCGCATAGAAACGCCAAAAATAGAAAACCATGCAATAATTTAAAACAGAGTGGATCAAATCGGGTGAATTATTTGTTTAATCCACGGAAAGTTGTTCCAAAAGATTTATGTGAAGTTGAATTAATTATTCGATTAATCTCTGTGTCTTATCCCTGTAGTGTTCTAGACAGCAGAATATGTAGTTTTTCATGATTGGTTCTCTCTAGGAACTTTGGCAGAAGCCACTTCCAAAAGTACGCGCGCGCGCGCATATATACATATATATATATGTGTGTGTGTGTGTGTAATATATAACATAATTGATTGACAAGGAGCAAAAGTAACATGGAAAGGTAGCCTTCTGTTGCACCGCCGGAGGAATAGAGACATTTCGTATTGAATACTAGAATCATTGAGCTTCAAACACTGGCTTTTAAATTATCATTTGTTCTCGTATGTAGATGATATTCTTTCCAAGCCACGGCCAATTTATACAAACAAAATGAGATTAACATAAATGATAAACGAGACAACACACAAGATTTTCTGGAATCCATCAAGGCAAGCATTGGAATTGTTTATTGACATTCATAATATATTAATAACGTAAACCAGGCGGCCTACTGACCTGATTATTCCCTCGTTCGAGGTTCTGTTTTATTTACATTCTCCTAACCATGTATAGTATTATATTATATTATAAATAAATATTATAATTATAATGGAGGTCATTCGGACAAAGCATCTACTTACCCTTTTTTTGTTTGCATACGTACGTGTAACTATGGATGGGTTTGGTGCTGATGAAATAATTGTGGATCGGACTTGTACAGGAAATAGAGGCGATGCTTGAAGAGTTAGATTTCATACCGAAAACGGTGTTCACAACAGACCTGCCATACGTGGATTTTCTAGACCGAGTGCACCGGGCGGAGGTGAAGATGAGATCCAAGGGTTTGTGGGAAGTGCCGCATCCGTGGCTGAACTTTTTTGTTCCGAGATCAAGGATCGCGGATTTCGACAAGGGCGTGTTCAGGGGCATTCTGGGAAATAAGACCAGTGGGCCCATCCTCGTCTACCCCATGAACAAGAACAAGTAAGTCCCCAGATGCACGCATGCTTGCCATGCCCACCTCTCTATTTATTATTTTCGTTTCATCATGCATGTCTTTGTCGTGTGTGTCTGTGTGTGTGTCTACTTAATAAGGCCACGGCACACTTCACGAGTCATGCATGCATGCGCCCATAGGTGATGGGCAGGCTGGGAAAAAAGGGGGGGGGGATAATACAATATGTGGCAGTACTGAAGACATGTTTGCCTTTCGGTTGATATGAGAAAACGGACGTCTGAAAGCTACAAAAGGCCAACATGAACACACCATACACGAGTCATTCGGGTGTAAAAGCAAACAAAAATAATGGGAAAGGGAGGGCCGTGATGACCCAACTCGGAAGATTTTGTTGTCAGGACTAGATCTTCAAAGGGGGCCCATGGCCTTTTTAGTAGTGTATTTAACGCAAACAGGCCCATTCAAGTAGTGATGAAGGAACCACCTCCAAAGGTCGCAAAAAAAAAAAAAAAAACCTCTGAAACCCCAGTGCATGAGTAAAATGAATACCCATGCTTTAACCCCAAAAAAAAAAAAAAAAGAATACTGAAGGATGTTGTGAATTGTGAAGGTGGGACCAGCGGAGCTCGGTGGTGACGCCAGAGGAGGAGGTCTTTTACCTGGTGGCATTTCTGAGATCAGCTGTGGACCGCCAGGCGCTGCGCATGCTGAGCGATCAGAACCGCCAGATTCTGAGCTTCTGCCGTGACGCCAGCATCGAGGTGAAACAGTACCTGCCCCATTACGCCACCCAGGAGGAGTGGAGGGACCACTTTGGCGATAAGTGGGCCCGCTTTTCTCACCTGAAGGCGCTGTACGACCCCCGGCGCATCTTAGCCTCAGGCCAGCGCATTTTCAAGCCCCTCACCGCCGCTACCTCCGATATGTGAATACAAAACGACAAGATTGGAGGGTGACGGCAAGGCCAAATTATACGTCGTTTTGCATGGCCTTGTAGAGTGCCCGTTTCACTCTTTACCTATTCTAGATTCTAGTTGCTACTTGCCTTGCTTCTCAGCTCCTTGTACATATTACGATTCTTACTCCTCTACGTTAGGCAGTACAGCAGCTTATTACAGATGGACAGCAAAAATGTCAGATTGACTATTTTTTCTCGCCCTCTTCCTTCTCCTTTCTGACTTCCCCATCTTCTAAACATGATCAATTTATAATTCCATCCGCATCAATTTTTTTAACTTATTTCACCCCATCTAGTTTTATAGAGAAGGCGGGGTCCCTTGTGGGTGCTCTCAAGCCCCATATCGGATAGATACGTGAGTGTGTTAATGTATATAAGTAGGATATTCGGACTGTTTGGGTACTACCGCGTTAGGTGGTTTACCCTTCAGTCTCTAGTTCAAAAAAAAAGTTTATAGAAAAGGCCAACAAAAAAAATTACAATCAGGTGTGGAAGAAAAAAAAATTAATTACCTTGACAACTAAAAAATATGTAATGACAAATTCTAAATATCCATGCATGCATGCTGACCTGAAGGTAGGTCTAACTTTGGAGGATGTTCACTCTCTCTCTCTGTTTTTTTTTTTTTGGGGCAGCGAGTATGCTTACTCTTTTATCAATATGGAGCCATCGCCATCTTCATCCCTCGTAACAGGATCATACGAGAAGCCGATGTAAACTAAACTGATTCTCCCAGAGTGACTGCGGCCTCCCCATAATGCGACAAAAAAGCATCTTCCTGTTTTTATCACGTTTGAATGAACACCAACTACACTCCATATGCTGATCATATGAGAAACAGACAGAAAGAGAAAAACTATCCTCCAAATGCCGATTCCGAAGGTGCTACTACTAAGGCCAGAGATTTTACGCCAGCACTTTGACCAAGGATAAAACACCATTTTACTAAAATGTAAAAAACAACAAAAAAGGATAAAGCACCAGAGCACAATTCATCCGCAGCCAAGCCTGAGGCACAAAGAGCTTATATCTCTAGACTTCAAATCTGACGGGAACTAGCACTGGACAAAACAACATGAATCAATTGATCTTTCAAACCTAAGTATGAATTTCATGGTTACTCAATCACAAAACTCCGTGGTTTAAACTCTGCAGGTGTCATCACCTAACAGAAAGGGCAAAGCTACTCTGTTTCTTGAGAGTCCCGGTTATTTGTGAAGAAACAGGGGTCCAAGAAACATCTAGGAACCATGAAAAGCGCTCAAAAATTGCACCTTTCTTCAATCCAGGCAGCATCAAACACACGGTGCTGGTTTTTACGCCCAGCTACGTTAGTACGTCGACAATCGACAATATATCCTACACAGCACATCCCGAAGCAGACAGCTGCAAGCATGTGAGCTTCGAGTAAAACCGGTGATTTGGGTAAGGGATAGTAAAAATTCTCGACATCAGTACGACCCTTAGCAGACACCCAGATTCTAAGGTGATCTTAGCCTGTCACTGTTACGCAAGTAAATGGTTTTCTGTCAGCGCGATATCTTTATTGTATGGACTCATTTTCAAGATAAAATCACCAATAATTCACTGCCAGTGCCGCAGATATTATCAGTTAATTGGGTCTGAAGGAAAAAATTAATGCACTATGGTTCACTTAGGCCAAAACTGATTGCACAGGAGTTCACAGTCGCATCAGCGTAAAGCATTCACAATTTTTTCATAAGAAGGATGCATGCTTCATAAATGAAACGTAACGTAGCATCCTGCATTCCAACTGTTTCCAGAAGCCAGGTCCACAGTAGAGTCAAAATCCAGTGAATTTGATTCACAACGCATAACGCCAAGGAAATAGGGAGCATGATGATTATAAATAAAATCGTAGCAAGTAGAATGAAATTGTTCCTTCGAATTCAAGGGGCAGAGTCAAGCGGCTTGCTTCAAGCTTTATCAGAAATGGGAGAATGAAATTGTTCATTTGAATTCAAGGGGCAGAGTCAATCGGTTTGCTTCTAGCTTTATCAGAAATGGGACAGTAAAGGCCGTAAGGGTTGGGGTGAAAACATGACAATGAAAGAAGACGTCTTGTGTTGAGCATGACCTAAACTAATTTTATCTTTTTCTATAGAACACTGGGGAAAAAAACAAAACTGGGAAATAAAAAGAAGAAGAAAGAAGGAAGGAAAAGAGATCTATAAAACTGATCATTATTACTATCACCATTATAAGCATTAATTGGCTAAGTTTAATTAGGACGCCGAGCTAGGTATGGAAAAGAGGATAATCTTTTTCAAATTATACACCTTTCTTTCTGTTTAAAAGAAAAGGGAGAGTAAGAGAAGCAATAAAAAGAAGCAAGCCAAAAGCATGCATCTAATAAACGTGACGCGAACACATGAACGGCAAGTTCCACTTGTGGTTGTGGAAGGTGGGTAGAAAAATTTAGAAAAAGCTCATCTCAGCTACTACATGAAGCTTGTCGGCAACCACTGGAAAAGAGCGCGGAAATATTTTATAATATAAAACCGAGGAAGCAATCGCCCTGTCTGGCCAAATGCTCAAGAAAATCAATTTCAGGTTGATGCGTCTTATCAGTGTACAGAACCCCGTAGCTCCGTTGACTTCAATTGTCCATCCCGACCAGAATAATAAAAATAATACATCAGCCATACAATTCATACATTGACACGACTCCATAAAACAAGGTGGGGTATAAGTGACCTCTGCTTCGGAAGCCGGTTGCCGGAGATAATTGCAAATCTAAAACCTTACGTGAAGGAGCAGAGGAACGAGTCAGCGCTTCCAAATTTCAGCAGACGGGAGGGAATTTCTACGTCTTCATACAAGAAACACAGCAAATCTAAGCCGTGCCACAATATTATAGTTTGGCAAGGGGGACAAGCAATCGAGTGGGAAAATCGCGTACTAGAAGTTCAAGAAAGCACGGAAATGTTATGCTCTCTCTGTTTGAAAATGCTTGATCTGACAAAATTTCCATCATAATTATTCTCATTATTCGGATTGTTATTGGAGAATTTTCATGCAAACAGATACTCCTTCCCGTCTTTAATATAAAGTCTTAAATATAAGATCTTAATTATTTTATCTCTCATATATATATTTTCAAAATAGTTCTTATAATAATGATAATTCTAACTAATATGTTTAATTGACAAGAATATTTTAGAAAAAACGATATATATTTGTTACAGGTAATTAACATAATTAATTTTCTTAATCTACTTAAATTAGTGAACTAATTTACATACTAAATGCTGAATGGATTATTAATTAAATGCTGGTGGAAGAGAACCACCGGGATGCAAAAGTCATGGGTCAGGGAATCACATGCCAACAGCAACAGGCACAAAGAAGGCATTTAATAGACGGGGAAATATTAATATTATTCCCGGGGCACAAACGAAAAAGAAGATAACATCTTCACCAATGGAATTTTTACTTGTTATGAGTGAAGAGTATGACTGTTCAATATTTGACTATTCAAGGTGTGAGGACAAGGTACTTTGAACATGTTTTCCAAAAATCCTTTGTCCATATTCTCTGCCTATTCGGCATTCGGCTCCCATCTCGCCTTTCTGAAAATATAAAAATAAGAAATAAAAGAAGAAGAAAAACGCACGCTTCAAGCAAGCAAATCACCAATAGAAAATTGCTTGCGAGGTATGAGGATGTACCTGACAATGGAAATGGCGGGTTGTATTATAGTAATAGAAAGCCAAGAAGCATACACACGTCGACGCGTGAATTTGTCACTTTCACCTACTACAAACCCCGAATCCAGCCAACTCCTGATATTCTTATTTTTTTAATTAGTTTTCTTGGGGGAAAAAAAAAAGAAGAAGCAGGAGAACCAAACAGCTTCGGATATGCTGGTAAGAGAAGGAGAGAGAAAGAAGGATTAGGATGCCTTTAAGAGGAGGTTTAAAGGGAGGGTTACGAGTTACAGGTCCACCAACTGGTGGTTAGGGTTTGAACCCTTCCAAGCAAACAACCACCTCATCCCCTCTCTTCCTCACCTCCACCATCCAATCCATGCGACGGCTTCTTCTTCTTCTCAAGCTTTCTAGCGACTTTTGTCTTGGCGTTCGTCACACGTGAGAAACCTGATATTGATATTGATTGACACATAAATTTAGCAATTATTTATTCCTTTTGGCAAAGAAGGAAAAAAAAAAAAGAATTGTGTGTCCAATAAAATAAAAGTAGTTGGTATGGGGGAAAGTAAACAATTTCTCCTTCTTGTTTTTTTTTTTAAAGAAAGTTGTGGTGTTTTATATATCAGTATTTATTTTTAATTGGTTGGTGCCGTTGTTCCAATGATAAGGAGGTCGGTCTTTGTTTGAATCAAATATAATCTCTTGGGATTGGCATTTGTCTCCGGGTGGGCAGGAACATGAACCCCATGGATTGTCTCATCGCGACTTGTGTGATGTTTCTGCTCTGATCCTCTTTCCCGATTTGCTTCCCACTACGACTCCCATCATTCCTTTTGATTCTCAGTCCTCTTCCTTCCTTTCAGGTATTTCACTTCTCCTTTTCTTTTATCTCTGTTTGATGTTAATAATGATATCCCCGAACAGAAAAGCAAACTTCTTTCGTCGTCATCATCATGGTGTACTTTTGTTAGTGGCAGTGGATGATGCTGCTGATAGAGTTTCTGATTTTGATGAGTGATAGCAGAAATCAGAATGGACTTGTTACTGTGGAGTGGGGATGGGAGAGGAATTCGAATTATACTATCATGAGTGTGGAACTTTCCTTTATGGGCTTGCTGTATAATTGATTGATTGATTGGCAGAAAGTTTTTTAAAGAGATCCTGTTTCGTGCTTTTAATTCATTATGAGAGGGCATGAGGAGGGGCGGGTATTCTGGTGTAGGGTTTTGAGCTAAAGGTTGAAATTGACATCTTTGCTAAACTTTTCGTTCAAGTTTGCTTCAGCTCGGGAAGAGTTCATTTACTGTGTGTCGGTATTTAGTATTTACCAGACTTCCAGTCAATTCACTTGCGTCAAAACTTCTGCTACCTCTATTTTGTCCAACTGGCGAGTGTTAGCAGAAGCAAAATGCTTCATTCGTTCAGTCTAAATCCATTTTTATGGAGCAAGCGAATGTTCTTCATATAATAAAACTCCCCTTCATCCCCTTTTTTCCTCGCCGTCTAGTTTCCAGCCACCCATAGATCAACAGACCCCCTCAGCAATAATGATACTCAAGCCGGGTTTCGAAGGAGGATTGGTTACTGTCTTCTTCTTTTATTTATATGTTTATTGTTTCGGTTGGAAGCTTGTTAAATCATTTGGTTGAATGAACTTCTCATTGAAACAAAGAAATACTGCAAATCGCCATTGGTCAAAAGCTGTAGATTTTGCGACTTTGCAGAGTAATATACTGAGAAAAGTGAGAATTAACCCCCCAGGAGTGTAAACTGGGGTGTCGGCAATGTTTTGAGCAAGCGCTTGATTAAACGTTTGAAAAGAGAAAGGGACTGTTCCCAAACTACAGCGCACACAACGGATTAACGGGCATAGCAGCAATGTCAGAGTAATTTGATCGTCCATGCTTTTGTATAAGCGGCAACAGATATCCAATTCCTCATGCCGTTTAAACCAGTGTGTTTTAGCTCACTAGCTGATGATTGAACTCGAAGTCGCGAAAATTCCGTTACGTTGCGTAGTATTAATTAATAATGGATTCAGTACGAGGACAAGATCAATATCGCTATGAGAACTGTGGGCAGAAGTATAATTTGTTAATTTCCTACATTAAATGCTATCGATGTTGTGTTGCGGATCTGTCTCTGACATATATGCTGGCGTTTTTTATTTAGATTTTAGACAACGCAATCTCTTTTTACCTTCTGCTTGCTTTTTTCGTTTTTCTTCTGTTTCCAAAACGATAACTTTCAATTTTCTTTCCCCACTGACTTTTTTTTTGGTCAATCTATTTAATTGATTCAGGAAAGTCTAGCGAACTGTCGATACTCGATACTGACTCCACCGCGAAGGGATCGGAAAATCTGTCTCTAATTTGTAATCGCAATCTCTTGCTGCTAATGTCATGATGTACCCGAACCAAGCTTTTTCTTCTGGGTCCTACGCGGAGATGTTGTCTGGAAATTCCCTTTTACCTCATAACTTTACAGAAACTGTAGGAAGCCAAAATGAGGTGAAGTTCATCACAAGCGTAGGTGACACTGTGGCCATGCAATCTATTGATGGGCATTCCAACACTGCAGCAGGTGATCCATCTTTCTCAAGGACGCCACTGGGGCTCGTTGACAGCGAACAGAACATACAGAGCCAGGGCTTGTCTCTTAGCCTTGGCACGCTTATGCCTGTTCCTCCCTTCCAATACCACTATCCCTCCACCGGCTTTTCGTCATTTGTGACTCCAAGTCTTCCAAACTTTAAGGGCACTGTTTCTCTTAAAGATGACGAAGGTGCTGAATGCATGGCACCTGTGTCTTCTGGAGGTTTTAACAACTCCATCCAAAAGGAGGCTTTGTACCATCCGCACTTCTCACTCTACCACAAGGAAGTCCCCAATGATCCGTCGTGTCTGCATGGGACCCAAGGTTTTTCGAACGCTGCCTTAAACTCTCAATACCTTAAAGCAGCACAGGAATTGCTTGATGAAATTGTTAATGTACGAAAGGCTTTAAAGCAACCTGGACTGGAAAAGCACAAAGGTTCCCGTGACATTGGATTAGATGGCTCCAAAGAATCTGATGAAAAGTCTACCAGTCAGTCTATGCAGAAGCAGGACCCTAATGCTTCATCTGCCAATGCCTCATCTGAATTGTCACCCGCAGAACGGCAGAGTTTGTTGGATAAGAAGGCGAAGCTTTTGTCCATGTTAGACGAGGTTTATCTCCAAACCCCACTATGATTGGGTCACATGGTTTGTTTTGTTCTATAGATGTTTGTTTTTGATACATTGTCTCTAGATTGAATCTCTGTATCTGTTTATACTATACTAGTTCAAATAGTTGAGCAGGATAGCTATGATGATAGGCGGTTTATTGAGATTCCAATTGCATTAATTAGGGATAGGAGCAGGTTTTGATTGATTAAAGAAAGCTAACTTGCAACAGCAGGTGGAGAAAGCACCCTAAACTTGTCTCTCAACATCTGATCTTGAATAATGCAGTTTTGTTCCTTGGCAGCACTTGTGTTCTAACAATATGCTCAAATATTAACAAACAACTAACCCTCTTGTGGTGACTACAGGTAGATAAAAGATACCGGCAATACTGCCATCAGATGCAAATGGTGGTCTCATCTTTTGATATGGTTGCTGGTTGTGGGGCGGCTGAACCATACACTGCACTTGCTTTGCGAACAATTTCTCGCCATTTTCGTTGTTTGCGTGATGCTATTAGTGGCCAAATCCAAGTGACTCAGAGGAGCCTTGGAGAACAAGAGGGGATACCTCGTCTCCGCTATGTTGATCAGCAGCTGAGGCAACAAAAGGCCCTCCAGCAGCTTGGCGTGATGCGACAAGCTTGGAGGCCCCAGAGGGGACTTCCTGAAAGTTCTGTTTCGATACTTCGTGCTTGGCTCTTTGAGCATTTCCTTCATCCGTATGTCCCACTCCTACCTTTTCCTTTACATCAATGGTTTTGTTTTAATTCTCCATTAGCTGATATTTCGTTTCCATCTGCTATTTGTCACCAGTTACCCAAAAGATTCGGAGAAAATTATGCTGGCAAGGCAAACTGGCCTGACCAGGAACCAGGTTCGTATTTGAAAATTTTGAACTCAAAATTCTAGTTTCTGACCGAGCTTTAATGGCAGGCAATCGATAATCATTGATTATCATATTTACAGTTGTTGCTGATGTTTAATTCATTTAGGTGGCAAACTGGTTCATCAATGCAAGGGTGCGTCTTTGGAAGCCAATGGTTGAGGAAATGTACAAAGAAGAGTTTGGTGATTCTGAGATGGCAAGCTGCAATCTCTCATCTGAAAGTACCCCACAAGGTCCAAGAGATAATAAAGGGGAAGAATCGCAGGGCAATGTTAAAGCTGCTAATAATGTCCCACAGGGGCAGCTTCATGAGTTGAAGCTAGACCAGAGCTCTGCTACAGAATTTGATACTGCCCATGGAGAAGCTGTCATGCATTCTAAAATTATGAAATTGCAGGGTGAGCAAAGGCTTAATATGAACAATAACTTTTATTCGGGCGGACCTATGCCAACCAACCACAACGGTGATAACTGCCTAATGCCTTCTGATACGGCCTCATACGATTTATCAGAGCTGGGTAGTTTCCAGGTGGGCGGCCATGTGTCTCTTGCGTTGGAGTTGCGCAACTGTGAAACCGAGGAATTCACCGCATCTGATAATGGTTTCAACAAACAACGTAACCAGACGTTAGGTTCTTCCCCAGAAAATAATCTGATCGATTATCATTTCACAGATTCAGGAAAGCAACAAAACAGGTTCAGTAATCCTCATCTAATGCATGAGTTTGTCGTCTGAGACCCGCATGCCCATAAAGATCCGGGGAGGAAACGAAGTTGATGCTTTGAGGGATCGCTGGAAAGGTTGTATAATTAGAGTAGACAAAGGAAGCTCATGTTGTTTACTCTGTTGCTCATTCTTGTTGCCCCTTGTTCATAAAGTGATGAATATCACAAAACGTACAAATATACTCGTAGATATGTGTAGATATTCACTTGTAATATTACAGATGATTGATTGTAAGTGCAGGCAATTTTGTAAGGACAAGAATCACATCATGCGCATGCATGATGTGGAATAAGGAATCTGATGGGATGTTACAAGTACGATGTGGAACTGTTGGCTTGTTAATAGAACATTCTGCAGCCTTTCACGTGTTAAAGCAATAGTGCACAAAAGATGGAACGGTACATGAAATATGGACAAATTACAGTGTTTTTATAAATTTAGGGCTTGCTCGGCAGCCAAGATCCTGGGCTCTAGAAAGGGAAAACGAGAGAGAATGACTAGGTTACCTTGCTGGGTGCAGCATCAAGATGTTTCCGGGGAAAGCCAGAGTTTCATGAAACTGTGATATATGGCTTCCTAAGGAGTTGATGGAATTTGTAAATTTTACTGGAAACTACATTTCTTGACCGGAATATCCCCACGGTCGAAACAAATCTTTACTCTTCCTCCTAGCCCTGGAGCATTTCTCCGCCTGGATCTCATTGCTATGTATCTCCCTAACCCTGTCCATCTCCATCTTCGGTTATCATTGTGTTCGTTTAAAATGACTTATAAGTAGTTTTTTAATCATAATTTATGAAATATGAAAAAGAAATTTTGTCTCAACTTATATGAAATGTAATTATAAATGATTTTAAACATGATAGCATGTATATTCACCTTCTGTCCTTGTGAGCCGCCATCCACCCAACTTTTGGCTTTTCAACTTCTGCAGGGGGATACAAATTAAACATAATAAGCACATTAGGAGGTAATCAAAATCACAATAAATAAAAGCTGAAACATCGACGCTTTTCCTTGTTTAAAGCTTTATGCTTGTTAGTTGTTACTCTCTTTTTTCCTCCTTATTTTAATGTTTTTAAACTCACCCAGTTTATGTTACTTCCTTGAATGAAAGCGGAAAATTGTTGCTTTTTGAGGCATGTATGATGGTCGATTCAGACTTACTGAGCAAATATGGGAAAAATTATTGCTATCAAAGAACCTGCTTTCGGGAGTGAAAAAGAGAATCAGGAAAAAACGTGAAACTCTTCTTTCACCAATTATATAAAAAATGGACAAAGTTCACTCTCATCTCGATTTTGGTAATTTCTTTTGTTTTTTTAGTTAATAAGTGTCAAGTACCAAATATAAATATCTCTCGCAACAGGAACTTGAACATTAATTTGTCATGTGATGAGGGACTAATTCTTTTCATTCAACCTAACACTCATTGATTTAAATTCTAGTAATTTCTAACAATGGAGTTATTGTATTCGTAAACTGGGCCTATGGGAACTGGAAGGAGTGGACAAGATCATGCTTTCATCCCAAAGATGTTAACAGGCTTGGTTTTAGCTGCCATTTATTTTTCAATACAAGCTGCATTTTCTTCACACGTTGCTCCTCAGATTTAATTGCATGTAGATGTTTAAGGTTTCCTGTGTTTTCTTGCTTGCATTCTAGGTTTATGAGCAGAGTACTGCAAATGGAATAACGACATGGCGAATGTATTGGGTAAAGATTTTTACATTTTCAAAAATAATTTATGTTTTTTCAACCAAAATTCACATATTGCATCTTCAAACTAGATCCTGATGGTAATTCACCAAACAATGACTGGAGGGGGAAGCAACAATAATCACGATAAATATAAAAATATATTGACGCTTTGATTTGGTTTAACTCAGTATTTAACGTTAAATACAATCATCATAGAAGATTCTTTAATCTTTAATCTTTAATTAAGATAATAAGTTTACAAGTCTTCGCTTAACACTTGCTAATTGATTAACTATCCAATTTACTTGAATATTAGTTGGTAAATTATACACTTATCGTGTGTTAATTAAAAAAGAACATACGTTGTGAAATCTATAATAGGTTGTCATAAAGAAATTCATCGTAAGAAGTGCTATTGGCATAAATTATAGACAATATAGCTCACTATTTAAATTTTGTACATGGCATGAGAAAATGTGTTTAATTTATTACTTTCATAAATAATTTATACGAACAAATGCTGGTAAGGAGTAGTTGTTAATGAGTTACAAATAAATGTTCCACTCTGAATGTCTTGTAATGTAGGTGAACTGCGTCTCAATTTTGCTGTAATCTCGTTCTTTCTATTGAATCCTGTCCGTAATGCACATATGATTTGGGGGTATTTGGATTTGACTAAAAACTTTTTTTAGAAATAGTTTTTTTTGTAAATTAAAATAAAATTTTCACATATTTATTTGATAAAAATATTTTTAAAATTATTATCTTGTTTCTACCTAAACATCCTTATCAACGACAGTAAATTTTTTTTCCCGGTGGAAAACCATATTTTTTTTAATTTCTTTTTTACTTATAAGTGCTTGCACGAGGGGTTACTTTCCCAACTTCTCATATTTCTCCTTGAATATATAGGGCCAGTTCTGACATTAGATGTGTTACTCCATTCAGCCCTCCAAGTCCAGCGTTCCGGTCTCTGGATCCCTTGCCATTCAATATTCCGAGTTTGGAGCGTGAAAACAATGACGGAAGCAGAAGATGCCGCACGACGCCGTAATGCGGTGGCGGATTATCGGAAGAAACTTCTTCAGCACAAAGAACTGGAGTCCAGAGTTCGATCGGGTTCGTTCTCACACTTTCCAATATTATCAAGCGCATATGTTTCTTGATTAAAATTCCTGATTTTGTTTTGGGTATAATACCGTTCTATGATTCGGTCATGTTTAATCTTCACTCTATCGGGAAAACCTAAGTTTTAGGGTTTGTGCCCTTTGGCATTGGTAATCCTCAATCCTGTAGGATCAGTACCCTCCTTTTGACATATAGGAAGAGTGATTTTGATAAATTTACATTTTATGGGATATTGACTTGGCTATCGATTTCTGACTGGAAGGAACCTAAGCTATTTGGGGAAATTAGGTCACGTTAAAGATTGGATCTGTTGTTAAAAGTCGCCTTTTCCCTCACTCGGATTATTTAGATATTAAATTTATTTCAATCCGAGGCAACAATTCCTAGCCAGGGAGGATGGAAAGTAGGCATGTTAGTGAGGAGCCGATATCTTGGCAACGCTGCCGTTTTTTTCCCCTACTTTGCAGTATCATTTTAGCTTGCCCTGTGCTGCATCGTTTTGATATGAAAATTGTGTATTCGCTGCATTAACTTATCTTTTTCTTATTAGAATTAATTTCCCTAAATTTATCCTTTCTTTTGACCCATTTTCTACAATGATTAATTTGATCATTATGGATGAGATTGGTGACGTTGGATTTGGAACTTAAATTGCAGTTAGGGAGAATTTGCGAGCTGCGAAGAAAGAGTTCAATAAAACGGAAGATGATTTGAAGTCTCTTCAAAGTGTCGGGCAGATCATTGGCGAAGTTCTCAGGCCTCTTGACAATGAACGCTGTAATTATTCTGCCTATATTTTTAAAATTTGAAATGCTATCTTGCTAGTCAACTTCTTTAGTACCATCTCTGTCTGGACATTTAGATCTTTTTTTTCTTCTTTTGGTGCTTTGCTAACAACTGATATATTGTAATTTTTTTAATCAATTTACTATTGCTCAACAACTTTCTGTCTTTTTCAAAACGGAGGAAATGTTTACTTCATTAATTGGTGCTAGTGCATTATTTATTTGTTAGCTAGCTACTTACCGAATCGCCATTTGGATTGTGATTGTTTTTCCATCACAGTGATTGTTAAAGCAAGCAGTGGTCCCAGGTATGTGGTTGGCTGCCGCAGTAAAGTGGATAAGGAGAAACTGACTGCAGGAACAAGAGTTGTTCTGGATATGACAACACTAACCATAATGAGGGCTCTTCCCCGTGAAGTAAGTTTTCAAAAACATGCAAATATTTACTAGATGAATGTGTGCATGTTCTTTTTGGGCTCATTTCCCCCCTTACTATCAGCTGTTATTTAACGCATGATTGTCGCTATTTTGTGATATGGGGTTCTAGGTGGATCCAGTAGTTTACAACATGCTTCATGAAGATCCTGGTAACGTCAGTTACTCAGCCGTGGGTGGTTTATCTGATCAGATAAGGGAACTGAGGGAATCAATTGAATTGCCTCTGATGAATCCTGAACTCTTTCTTCGGGTTGGAATAAAGCCTCCAAAGGTGATTGTCAATTTACTGCATTATCCACACTGACCCTTCATCAGTCTAACTGTCTTAGTATTTCATATGTAGGGTGTTCTTCTTTATGGACCTCCTGGGACTGGCAAGACATTGTTAGCTAGGGCCATTGCCAGCAATATTGATGCTAGCTTCTTAAAGGTCAGATGATTGTTCTTTTCTGAACTTAATTGCACTCTGAAATTTTGTTCTAAAGTTGAATATACTGTGTCTTGTCCTATATTCTCGTTTAGGTTGTTTCAAGTGCCATTATTGATAAGTACATTGGAGAAAGTGCTAGGTTGATACGAGAGATGTTTGGGTATGCACGTGATCACCAGGTGAGTCTCTGGTGTGAATTAAATTTCTCTGTTCATGTATTGAAATGGAAGATGATTATTGAACTCCTTTCTCTTCAGCCTTGCATCATTTTTATGGATGAGATCGATGCCATTGGTGGTCGTCGTTTTAGTGAGGGAACAAGTGCAGATCGTGAGATTCAAAGAACACTAATGGAGTTGCTTAATCAGTTAGATGGATTTGATTCACTTGGGAAGGTATATTTTATTCTGAATCACCAAATTTTAATTCATCATTTTTAATTCATTATATAACCACACTTATACCTGGTTTTGAGGTGCTCATTTCATAAATTTTAAGGTTACAAAAACTTTTTCCCCCCTATTTCTATTTTTCTTTGCTTTTGGGGGAGTTTTCCTCCCTTTTTCTGTGGTTGGGGGTTTGGATATAAGCTTTATACAGAGGATGCACTTCACAAATCTGCTTTTGAACAATGATTTCCCCCCCCCCTCCTTATTGTCAAAGATAAACTGTAGCTTGTTATTTTCACTTGTCTTGAAGTTTCTTGGTGCAATTACTAATTGAACTTATCATGATTGGAAAGATTTACAAATAAGTTCTGACAAACTATGGAACAAAGTATAGAATAGTCTTGTATTACTTGGCTTTTGCGCACTAGTTAACTGAAGTTTTAAGGCACAGGTGAAACATTTCGCCTCCTCTACTTTGTGCATGCTTCTCAGTTGTAGCATATTTCTCTTGTTTTTGTATTGAAGACAGACATACACAAGGGGTGATGGGGTATGAAATATAACAAGCGCGGACATCATCCACGTGTTCTTTGTCATATATATTCTTACCATTATGACGTCTGGTTCAAATTCTTATGGTTCATGGCTTTTGTAGGTTAAAATGATAATGGCAACAAACAGACCTGATGTGCTTGACCCTGCTCTCCTGCGTCCTGGCAGGCTGGATAGAAAAATAGAAATTCCATTGCCAAATGAGCAGTCAAGGATGGAAATTCTGAAGATTCATGCTGCTGGAATTGCAAAGCATGGTGAAATAGACTATGAAGCTGTTGTTAAACTTGCAGAGGTTAGTCTAATGAAATCGGGTTAGTTTCATCAACTCATGGGTGCTTGTTTGATGTATTATCTGTTGCATGTTGTGCAGGGCTTTAATGGGGCTGATCTCCGAAATGTCTGCACGGAAGCTGGAATGTCGGCCATTCGCGCAGAACGTGATTATGTGATCCATGAAGATTTTATGAAGGCGAGTTCCTTCTCTGATTATAGTTTGGGATAATGAATACATCTTCTGGTTAGTTATGGAAGCAGTACGTTTTGTAACTTTGGACTTGGATTTCAGGCTGTTCGCAAGCTGAATGACGCGAAGAAACTTGAATCCAGTGCTCATTACAATGCTGATTTTGGGAAAGACTGAAGCTAGACCAATATTAACAGAGCCATGGACATCGAGGCAGTGCATCCCTTTTCAGTGGACCTGAAAATTTGCTATCTCATTATTTGGACTGCGTCGCTAATGTTAAGCACGAAATATGGCTTGTTGGGATCCCTCGTGCGATAGGAATATTACTGAAGTTGGAAGAGGGCTGTAGTTAACCAAATACAGCGAGGGGAAGACGTCAATTCAATAGTTTGCCTCGAATCGTTTACTGGAAACCGTGTTTCTCGCATCATTTATAATATTTAATGAATGTTGAATTAGGTGATTTCCTAGCAGCACAAGAACTATTGAGCAGGAATGGTTTTATTATCTTCTTTCGATATTCTTATCTTGTTAAAGTGCAATTTTATGCTGAAGTATTCTGTTTGTGCCCGTGAATTATATTGGCTGAAATATGTTGTGAGGTCACGCCACGTTGGATGCAGGTGGCATAATTTTTCTAATATCCACATCAAATACGGAAAAAGACTGCAATAGCATTTTCGAAGGCCGCGGATCTGACAACCCCAAAGAGCCGCCTGTTATAACCGTACAACCTAAGGAGGCCGCCACTATTACCGGATTTCTCTCTCTTAACTCCATCCCTTCCCACCGAATTTGAATTTATATTCTTGTTTCATTCCTCCACTCCATACAAACTAACTCTTGCATCGATTTGTTTGTTTGAAATCTTCGGTGGACTTAGGATTTCCTTGTCATTTTCCCTCTGAAAGCAGGCTGGTGGCGATTAATGTAAATGGTGGGTGGGGAGACAGATCTGCGGATTTGTCTTTACAGAGAGGGGAAGAGATGGATGTGGGGGACAAAAGACAGTTACCGGTGGGATTAAAAGATAAGTGTTTTTTTTTTTTTTTTTTGCGTACTAAAGAGATCAGATTTAATCTCCATATAAAAGTTAAATAAGTTTTAATGGCTGGCATTTGGTTTTGACCAAAAAAATGGCTGACATTTGGTTTATTAAACTTAGCGCCTATTTATTTTCTAGAAGCATAGAGGGAGCAAGTGACGTGGAATATTGTCCCCCCTGTCTGGCTACGTCTGACAGAATTGTATTTGTTGGGCCTATCTAACATGTTTGACTCAGTCTTCCCTCTCCGTCCATTTTGGGGAACATTGGGCATTTGAGCTGTCTTTGAAAGTTGAGGGGAACATTCGCTTCTGGAATCTTGAAAATACCGACTGTATCTGGCGTGATAATTAGGATTACATCTTAATATTTCTTATTATAATTTAGTTATCAGACTATTAAGTCTGAATTCGAAAGTCATATTAATAATGAGTCTTTTGTATGATTAAATAAACATTTAAAAAAATCAACAAAAATATTACAAATCTAGCCCAGGTGAATTCCATTAGACCACAAATTGAAACTTAAACCTTCTCCACTTTAAAATATTCGTCACTTTAAAGTTTTGGATTCATTCTAAGATACTTCTTATTTCGGAATTTCAATTATTCGTTAATTATTTTTAGACATGTTACTCCACGCTAAGAAACTAATCGTAGATAGAACAATGTTTTCCAAGAAAATAAAACGAAATAAATGAGAATATTTTAGTCAAAACTACTTGATTTTACTGCTAGTTATTTAATAATCTTTTTTTTTTCCTTCTAAATTTGCGCACTGTCTTGCAAATCTTTATGTCAACAGAGAAATCACCTGTGAGGGGGCACATTACGGAGGACGAGTTGAAAATTGAAATGACCATTTGGGCCGTTTCATGCCATTCGAGTAAGTTTCTTACTGGAAGTGTACGGTTAGACAGTATCTTTCTTAATTAAACTGAACAAATGGCCGCCATCACTACAAAAATCCATAGCTTGTTGTCTCGTCTCACTCCAGTTTGCCGGCGTGCTTAATGCCGTGCTTTGTTGTGGTCCTCTTCTTTAACTTGTATTTTATCATTCTTGCAATCTTGAAGAACCAGAAGGCGCTCAGCAGCTGCAAACCCAATCCCATGGCCTGAACAATGCGTTGTTTAAGGGTTAAAAGAGGTTGATATTTGATATTTTAAAGAGGTTATTCTAATCTCAAATAACTAATAGTAACGTTTGGGGTAGACCTTTATCATTGGCGGGTTTTCGGCAGATAGAGTTGTGTAAGTGATATAAGGACCCACCACCATTCTTGCAACTGTGAATATAGCAGCAAACAAAATCTGGCCGCCACAACTCATCTATTACTTAATCTATTTCTAATATTGCAATTTATAAACAGACCCTATAATTAAGGGAATTGGATATAAAATGAAGTTTTGCAAAGACAGCATACTTACATCAGCAGCCAAATTAATGGCGGTATCCCTATAACCCATCTCCTTCAAAAGCTCCCTCAAATGCAGGAAAGGGCTCGACATTTCCGTTACCCAAAGAGCTCCCACCAACTCTGAGCCACACTGCAGAATAGCATCGCCACGGTTGAAGAATGAGAAAAAGAATTCAAGTTTTGATGGGCAAGGGAATTCTGATTTATTGTAATAGCAACTGATATTCCAGCTCTTCCCTAGAGAGAGAGAGAGGGGATTTGGCAATTTAACCGGAAAAAGAAACGACCTTTTGATAGTAGAGGCCAGCACTAATTCCAACTATGCTGACCAAATGGTGGATGGTGTTGTCCAGACTGACTCTTTCCCCAAACAAGCAGCAAATTATATCATATACCAGATACGAAAGGGTCACCGCTAGAGTTTGCATCTGTCCACAGTTTCCAAAAGATTATTAATCCTTCTTTCAATTTCCATGCCAAAAGTTCCCCAGTTGACGAGTTTATTGAGTTTATACCTACCTGCGCAGGGGAGGATGTGGAAGCCATGGGACACAGTGGGCATTTCCAATCTTGAACAGACAGTGAAGCTAGTGTAACAGCTATAGTTGCATGCACTGTAGAGACGAGGCGGTTGCTGAAATCGAACGAGTACTTGCTAAAGACCCTTCTCGCTATCACAAACGCTATCGTCCATGAAATCACCCCTAAACCAACCGTCTTCTTAACGTTCTCTTCCATTTCAGCCACAGTGGAATGGATTCGAATGTGAAGAAATCAACTGATGAACAGAGAGTCTCAATCTGCCGGTCAGGGCGAGGAAGACTATTGAAGTTTGACTGCAGCAACTCTGCCGGTGGCAATAAATAAATAAATTTATTGCATGGACCAACTGTCACCAGAAAACAGATAGAGAGCAATCAAGTATGATGAGAGCGCCGATCTTTAATTTGTTTGAGCAAATTATGCCGCAACAACCATGTTTAATGCACATGCAACCTCTTTCCTAAACAGTAGTTCGTGCTTCAACCAATTTAGGTAAAAACACACCAAATTCAAAGGATGCCACCTGTCATTTTTTGAGCCAAATGTGCAGAACTTCCATCTTCGAACTGGCGAAAGCGACTCATAATAACCGCAGAACTATCAGGTGGAAGTTATTAAATGCAAAAATGTGGTCGCAGTTTTGTCTCTTCCACTCAGGCTGCTATGCTATCAATGCAATATCTTGCTTTCTTATTATACTTAGCCAAATAACAAAATATTCAAATCAGATGAAACTGATGTAAGGGTCCTTTTTTAAATATATTTAATTTTACAATCAATGTTGCGGCTTAGTCCAACGGCTTCTTCCTCAATCATCCCACTACCTATAAAATTTGATTCGCAAGTATCATGTCCTGATGGAACATCAATTGACTCTCTCCAGCACCAAAAGAACACCACAGACCTGCTCAAACCAATTGCTATATTTCTAGTCTCTAATTTATCATAGATCACTGCATATCAGCAATTCTCCCCCTCTCTGTTTGTTTTTGGGGTGGGGGGTTAGAAATAAACTGATCCAAATAAGACACTCTTTCTCGTTTCTCCTTCGTCCTTTTTCAGCAGAAATATTATTTGGGGATGTTCCCCTTTGGAAAATTAAGACGTAAACTATATACATAACGAACATCGACCTCATCCGGTTATTGTCTTATTTTGAATGGCTTGATCGTTCAAGTTCTAAGAGCGTACGGGTGTTGCAGGTAAATGTGATAGCAGCAGCAAACAAACAGAACCAAGTTGCTATGCATGGTTCTTCAGTTTTCATTCATCAAATAACTTCGGGCTTAGATTTCAGGCTGTGCGTGTGCGCGTCTATATATGCGTGTGTGCGTCTATACACACACACACATGAACAACAAAGCGCATGACAGTCGCATATATGGGAAGGAAATGAGCAACCTTCGCTATATCCAATCTGATCCCTTTAGATTATGGACTAATAACTCCCTCACCTCACCTTCTTCAAGGCCAACCCAGCTATATCATTGGCATACCATGAGTTTGAGTTTGAGTTTCCGTTTAGACAGACATTCGATCGCATTGTGATATATAATCAAACTGAATAAACGGCCTGCCATTCATCAATACTGAACTGATCCATTCCTAGTCGTCGTTCGTCACCATTTTCCTCCCGTGCTTTTCTGCCTTGCAGTTGCAGCCCTCTCCCTTAATTTGCACTTAGTTCTTACTATCTTCAATAATCAGAACGCACTTACTATCAACAAACTCAATCCCATGGCCTAAACAGCGCATCAGCATGTATTTTAAGAAGAAATTAGTGCCTCAAACTTCAAACAAAGTATACACACCTTTTTACCAAGTCACTAATGAGGACCGAACACAAACCTTGCAACTGTTTATGTGGCAGCAAACAAAATCTGGCAACAAATCAAATAATATAATATTAGTTCCTTTTGATCCATGCAACTTGTCTGTTTTTAGCATTGCAATTTACTAACAGACCTCATGAATGGTGAGAAAATTTAATCCAGTTAAGAGTTTGCCACGACATGCAGTATACTTACATCGGCAGCCAAATTAATAGCAGTGTCCCTAATTAAAACCCAGCTCCTTTAGAAACTCCCTGAAATGCAGGAAAGGCCTTGATATATATTTACCCCAACCAAACCGTCATCAGCATCTCTCAGCCACACGGCAGAAGTGTATCCATGGTTATGGTTGAACAAAGCTGTTATAAATAACCCTCCAAGTTTTCATTGGAAGTCTTAGTGATAGAAATATTTTATGAATGGGGATCGGAGGGGACAGAAATTCCAATTTAAAGATAGAAAGGTAGAATTTGACAATGAAAGAAATGACCTTTCGATAGCAGAAACCAGCCATGATTCCAGCGATGCAGACCAAGTAGTTGAAGCTAAGGGGTTGTCCGGACTGACTCTTTCCCCAGAGAAGCAACAGAAAAGAGTCTATTTAAAATATAAGCTTTATTTTTGGATTTGTTCAAATATTTATTATTTTTTAGTATTTTATCTTTAATTGATTGTGTTTAGTATTCCCTCTTTTTTTTAATATTACATTCATATATTTTCTTTCGTCATTTTTGTATTTATTGCCTCTCTTATTTACTCTCTTAATAAATAAGGGTAAATTTGAAAGGAAAAAATTCTGACGTATTTATCATTTTTAACTAATTTTAACTGCTAGTTATTAAATTTTTTTTTTAATCAGCAGGCTAATGCTTGTGAAGCGGATCAAAACCGCCACCTGTTGCACCCAAGGCAACCAACGTGCCACTACACCACAATGGTGCTAGCTACTAGTTTATTAAATTTGATTCAGTTATTTGAAATTTATATATAAGAGTAAAAAAAGTAATAAATACTCTTCTTGTCTTATTTATAGGATGAGAGAAAAGATTTTTTTGGTGATATTTATAAGTTACTTCTTTAAATTTCTACAGCGAATATATCATATTTTCTTTTATTTATTATAATATAGATAGTTTTTTTTTAAAATTTTATATATTAAATAGAGATAAAGTTGAAAAATTACTATATTTTAATGAAAAGTTAATACAGTTTAAGATTTTTCTTGATATGTGTGAAATATTTTAAAAGTGTCTTATAAATAAGACTAGATGAGTACGACAGAGTTTGCATCTGTACGGTTTTCACAGATAATTAGCTCAACTTTTAATGCCAAAGCTACCAATTTTATGAGTTGTTGAGTTTGAGTTGATCAGTTCAACCCCGCCTGCTGTCACGGACTTGGTCGTAATTCCAACGAACCGTGCGGCCTAGCAAACTTCTTGCCTTAAGTTGCTAGTCAGCCTACTCACGAAGGAACACGAAGGAACAGGAGACTCAAAGAAAGAACTTTGTATTGATCTCTCAAAGTACTTACAACACTCTCACTTTCTTGAGTGTGTCAAATGAATGAGGGGGAGGGGGTATTTATAGTTCTCTACCTCCTCAATGGACGGCTAAGATCTACTTGATCCGACGGTTACAATGTCGTATCTAGAATACTCTACAAAAATATCTAAATATTTACAAAGGGGTTAGGTGTCTCTACAATTATCTATAGTATTCTGGAACCTTCCAAGCTTCCCTAACAAGCTCCACACATTTCTAGAGAGTTCCAGACTTACCCAAGACTTTTGTGGACACCTTTGGACAGTTCTGGGCAGCGAGCCTTTGTGTATTTCGGGCAAAACATGAGCGGTGCGTTACATTCTCCCCCACTTAATGTGGCGACGTCCTCGGCGCATCCCTCTTGTATGCCTCAATATTCTCCTTATAGTCCCATAAAGCCAGCTCGTGTTCCCAGCTTGCTTCACTATCGGGAGATCCTTTCCATTTAACAAAGTATTCAATGTAGCTCGGATGACTCCCACGTCTCGGTATTACTCGGTGCGCGAGGATTTCCTCAACTTCCCGTTCTGGCACCGTAGTAATTGCTGTAGGGGCTCTTCTAGACTCACCTCTACTTGGTTCATCCTTGTCTTCGTTGTATGGCTTCAGTAGACTTACGTGAAAAACAGGATGCATCTCCAAGTGTGAAGGTAGAGTCAAGCGATAGGCTAACTTACCGATGCGTTTCTCTATAGGAAACGGTCCTTCATAGCGCCTCACTAGCCCTTTATGAACCTTGGCGAACCTTCGGCTTTGATGAGGAAGGAGCTTCACCATGACTAAGTCACCTTCCTCAAACTCTAAGTGCCTCCTCTTAGCGTCGGCCCACTTCTTCATCTTTTTCGCGGCCTTAGCCAAGTACGCCCTTGCCATGTCTGATTTTTCATGCCACCCCTTGGCAAACTTGAAAGCTGAAGGACTCGAGCCTTTGTAGCCAACAGCTAAAGTGTGCGGAGTCATCGGTTGTTGCCCCGTGGCTAACTCGAACGGACTTGACCCAGTTGATTCACTTTTCTGCAAGTTGTATGAAAACTGGGCAATGTCCAAGAGCTTGACCCAGTCCTTCTGGTTGGCACTTACGTAGTGCCTCAAGTATAATTCGAGTAAAGCGTTCACCCTCTCCGTTTGGCCATCGGTCTGCGGGTGAAAGCTTGTAGAAAAGTTGAGTTCGGACCCCATAATTTTGAAGAGCTCCATCCAAAATCTTCCTGTGAAGCGAGTGTCCCGATCGCTCACAATAGTCTTTGGTATGCCCCAATACTTTACCACGAACTTGAAGAACAACTTCGCAGCATCTTCTGCAGTGAATTTGGTTTGGACTGGTATGAACACTCCATACTTGCTAAACCGGTCCACCACCACCATAATGTTGCTGCATCCTTCCGTTTTCGGCAAACAAGTGATGAAGTCCATGGAAATACTTTCCCATGGTCTCTCGGGAATCGGAAGTGGCTCTAGTAAGCCAGAAACGGGGCGCTGTTCCACCTTGTCTTGCTGACACACAAGACAAGTCTTTATGTAGAGCTCTACATCGTCTCGCATCTGGGGCCAAAAGTATGCTCGCTCAATGAGTGCCATTGTGCGTCGAACTCCGGGATGTCCAGCCCACCTCGAGTCATGGCACTCCTTAATGATCTCCTTCCTTAAGCCTTGCCATTTCGGCACGTACACTCGGTTTCCTTTGGTTATGAGCACCCCATCCTCAAGCCAAAACCGGCGTGTCTTCCCTTGACTTGCCAATTCCATCAAACTTTTGGCTTGTGGGTCTTGCTTTAGTCCCTCCTTGACTCGATCAACCAAAGGGAAACTCGGGCTAGTGATGGAGGCAAGTTCGGCCTTTCTACTCAATGCGTCGGCCACGATGTTTCCTTTTCCTGGCTTATACTCCATCACAAAGTCGAACTCTGCTAAGAAGGCTTGCCACCTTACCTGCTTCGGTGTAAGCTTCTTCTGCTTAAGGAAGTAACTCGTGGCGACATTATCGGTTTTCACAATGAACTTGGTACCCAGCAAATAATGTCTCCACGTTCTCAGGCAATGCACCACGGCCGTCATCTCCTTCTCTTGGACTGTGTAACGCCGTTCTGCATCATTGAGCTTACGACTCTCGTAAGCCACCGGATGACCTTCTTGCATTAGGACTCCTCCTAAGGCAAAGTCCAAAGCATCCGTTTGTACCTCGTATGGTTTGGTGTGGTCAGGCAAGGCCAACACCGGTTCCTTGATCACGGCTGCTTTCAGCTCCTCAAAAGCGGCTTGACACTTATCATCCCAATCCCATACTCGGTTTTTCTTTAAAAGATCAGTGAGGGGAGCGG